CATTTACTCCAGCCTGAATGCAAGCATAAACGAAACAATTGTCTTCTGTCATAAGTGTTGCAGTTCTTTTGTTCAGTTCATTGAAGATTTGGTAGCGTTCAAGATTTATAGGTAATGTGCAAAGATACTTCCAGAACTGACCGCTTCTCTTCTTATAAAACTTCTTTTCACCATTATCTTTCCAAAAGCTTTCTATAAGTGCTGGGTTTCCTGTTTGCTTAAGAGCTTCCAAAATGGCTTTCTGGTCATTTGTCAGTGTGCTTTCATCTCTATATGGTCTCTTTTTTGGTTTGCCTTTCTTTACATCTGACATCGTTAAGCCTTCATATTCTGTTAAATCATACATCTTTATTTCAGTAAGATTCTTTATGTTTGTCAAGAAGAAGTCATAGTGCATTTCAACAATACCTGCAGCATTTGCTTCTATCTCTGATATAAAGTTCTCCTTCAAGAGCTGATGTAGTAATGTTCCAATATTATTGAGGTTTAACGTAGAACATTCATACTTTCCACCAAGTTTATAACATACCATCCATCTCTGTTGTGAGTTTATTTTAATCTTCTCTAAGAGTCTCATGAAAACCTTACCGAAATGTTTGTGTAAGTAGTCTCTGTTTGGTTCATCTAAAGCTTCGATGTTAAAGTCAATGAGTCTATTGCCTGTCTTCACATTCTCTTCCTATTCTCTTCATCTTTCTTTAACCATCTCTCACCTTCTTTTGGTTTGTCGTCAATGGAATGAATGACATCGTTAGCTTTGCGAACTTGTTCTATAGCACTTTTAAACATCTCTCTTCTCTGTTGTTTCAGTGTGTCGTCTCTTCTTCTTGTTTCACCAACGTTTGCATTTGTTATGTCAAACATCTCACGCCTTACTTCATGAGAAAGAGCTTTACGAGTATGACCAACGTTCGCATTTGTTATGTCAAACATCTCACGCCTTACTTCATGAGGTATTGAACGTCTATGATATAAGTCAATAGCAACGTCATTTAAAGGAAATGCTCTTGCATTTATGAACTCATGAATTCTATCATAAGTTATTTCACCATTGTAGTCATTGAGAATGTCAGCGAGTGCTTTTTTGTTTGTCGCGTAATGTTTTGCAACTTCTATGTTAGCTTCTGTTAGAAGTTGTTTTATTTCCGAGTGTTCTAACTTAGACAACTTCCGATACATCTTTAGTAGGAAATAAAAAAATATTTTTTGAAAAAATTAGATTAGATTTTTTTAAATTATTTTTCAAAATAATTTAATATTTTTATTTTAATGAAACACATGCAAGATTGCAAGTTCTTTTCATACAATGCTCTCGCTACTGTCATCAAGAATGAGTTCAATGGTGCTTCAAACGTTAATGTTATCTTTAACAAGAAGTTTGTGAAAGAATCTAAGTTTGGTCAGTATGTCAGACCATTAGCTATTGTCATTGACCGCAAACGTTATACTTCACAAGAGTTAGCAGTAGTTTTGAAACAAAAGAGTTTCTTCGTGAATGTCAAAGATACTCATTATACTGTCATAAAGAACTCTAACATTGACTTCTTCAGTATTGCTTTAAATCTTTCCGAACAGAAAGAATATAAGAAGGGTGAAACAAATGTGAAATATTATTCTTCATCTTTGAAGACAATAACGAACAAAGATGTTATACAGAAATTCTTACCAAAGGTTGAAGAAGCTTCTATTGACATTGACGAAGGAAGTGAAATGGTTGAAGAAATAGACCCTGAAGCTATTTAAGCAAAAATATATTTTTGAATAACTGATGGTGTCACCACGTCACCATGTCACCAGGTTAATTAACTTCTCTGAAAAATGATGACAACATGACATTTTGACAATACAGCAGGATTAATGCAAAAATGAATGTTATCGTTAATGTTATCGTTTATGTTATCGTTAATGTTATCAGTGTCGAACATAATTGACATGGAGCATTTATGTTATCGTTAATGTTATCGTTTATGTTATCGTTAATGTTATCGTTAATGTTATCAGTGTCGAACATAATTGACATAGGATTCATGACTTCTTCGTAAATGAGTGTAAATATAGCACAAAAATAATTTTTAGGTGAAGAGGTGAGATCTCACCCGTTTTTTCACCTCTTTTTTCACCTCATTCTCTCTTCGTTAATGTTGTCGTGACTTCATCGTTAATGTTGTCGTGACTTCATTCTTCCTCTTTGAAGTTATCGAAATATTCTGTTATTTTTTCCTTCAGTAATGTTAAGTCTTCTTTGAATGTAAGTATTGTGCAACCTTTGATGTCATAGTGTGTTTGAGGAAGAGTATTTTTGACAATTTCCTTTATTTGCTCATTCGGTGTCATTGAAATCGGTAAGTTTTCACGATAGAACCAGTTTCTGTCAGATTTATATATTTTAGCTAAGTCATAAAAGCTCTTGTTGTTTCTTCTGACTAAATGCAACATAACCATATCTTTATCTTCTTCTTTCTCCAATTCTTCAGTATATATCATATACCTATAACTCTTTTCCTTTCCTTTTGGTACTGAACGTGGTATTCTTTTCTGTATGCTTTTGTCTTTGGATTCAATGACTTCATCTTTTGCTTTATATAGTTCATCTAACATCATGAAAATATAACAAGCATAACGAGGTGAAGCCCACATTGCTACAGCGTTTACTAAAAGTCTATGAACATAATAACCTTTCAAACAAGGAGCCAAATTCTTGCGATTTTCATACGGAATCTCTTCATTCTGCAAAGCAATCATATGAGGAAATTCTTCTAAAAGTTCTTTTGTCTGTTGGTTTTCAAACCAATGATATGCTTGCTTTGTAGAACGAAGAGCATTCATTATACTTTGCATTTGGTACATATCGTCTTTGACTGAACGAATGAGACGTAACTGTTTGTTATACTGTATGTACTCGTATTCTTCATTTATGGCTTCATGAACGATAGCAGTTGTTGTGTTCTCTGATGTTGACATTACTGTCTTTACATACAAGATAAAAATTTTTGTTAGGAAAAAATTAGCGTTATTTTCTGACTTTCACAAAAGACAAAAATAAACGCTTTACATGTATTTTTCAGCAACTTCGTCAAATAATTTTATAGCTTTATCTATCTCATCTACTTCAAACGTTTCTTTACCTTTTATGGGAGCACCATACATTTTCTCAAACTTTTCGAGTAGTTCTGTTTCTGCGGCTCTCATATCATTAACGAACACAACTTGACTCTATTGACTGTACTGTCATATCTTTGAGTTATATTATATGTTCTTCCTATCTTATATCTCTTTGTATTGAAGTCCTTCGGTTTCTGAACGATGTAAAGTAAGCCTTCACTGCAACGTTCCGTATCGAATGAACCATAAGTTATGAAGTTATATCCAACAACAGGGTCAATCCACAGAAGAATTATTGGTATAAGACTTTTGTCAATGAGATATGCTGTAGTTCCATAGAATCTTACCGATATCATGAGCTCAGGATTTCTTGTCAAAATTTTCTGAGTAGAAGCAATTCTAACCCAGTCCTTTGTTTTCTTTCCAGAAGGTGTTATAATGTCTGACAAAGAATATTTGTTGTATTTCTTACAGTATCTTACGTTTAAATCACCAATTCTAACCACTTTGGTGTCATTGTCAATCTTTCTTACTGTTTCAAACTCAATGTTTGACATTACTGTCTTTACATAAAAGATAAAAAAATAAATAAAAATAAAACTAACTTTATTTTTATCTTTTATGAAAATTCATGAAATTTGGTCATTTTCAGCAAAAATAATGTTTAGGTGAATAGGTGAGATCTCACCCGTTTTCTCACCCGTTTTCTCACCTGTTTTTTCACAAGCGTTTTACATGAATTGTACGATGTATATTTGAAATCCTAAACAATTTCGTAGCTTCTATTTCTTCTTTTAGTACATCGAATGTTTTAATCATGCCGAAAGTCTCTTTATATTTCTTCTTGACGTCAGACAGAAGGAAATCTTCTGCTGTTGAATAGTTTTTATTAAGAAATGTTAACATATCCATTTTATCTTCTGCTGGCTTTTCTGTTTCTTTCTTTAAGTCTGCATAGTCGTTTCGCATTCTTTCTATCTCTTTGACTGAGTAGTTATATTTTCTTATTGCTGCTTTACATTTTGAACATTGCGGCATCATTTTTGCGTTATACATTGAAATAAAACCAGCTAGAACAACTAAGGCGTCAATGGTTTTCTTTAACTCAAAAGCTGCTGGTTTTATCTGTTCATTCCATACCTTACCTCTTCTATCTTTATCTCTTATCTGCCATACACATTTTGCAACTAATGAAACAAAGTTGTCGTATGTCTTAAATTCTTCGGATTTGTAAAGGTCAGAAATATTTTTATAAACCATGTCGCAATCTTTGTCCATAACTTTATGGTTACAATGATATCCTAGAAACTCATAGTTTACCTTTCGTATGAACTTCTTTATTTCTACCGAGTCAGTTGCTTTGACTTCAATTTCGTCAAATTCGGGAATGGTTAGTTTTTGTTGCTGAATTTCAGGTAGTTTAGGTAAATGGTCGATGAGGTCCTGCATGTCATAAAGATATTCTTCATTTTCTTCATCCTGTGCGGTACAGTCTAAATTACTTGTTAACAGTTCTTGCTTTATCTTCTGGATTTTTGTTTCGAAAGTATATGAAGAAGGAATGAAGTTTTTCATCTCTACCAACATTGACGTAGGATTCATGACTAGCGAGTTTGGTGCTGTAGTTGTGGCTTGAATTGTTGTTGTGCCGATTGTTGAAATCATATCTTTTATACAAAATAAAAAAAATAAATAAAAATAAAACTAACTTTATTTTTTCTATCTTAAGGAAATTCATGAAAATTCATGAGGGTGAAAAAAGAGGTGAAAAAACGGGTGAGATCTCACCACTTCACCTAAATTTATTTTTGGTGTAAATTTATGATAAAAATAAATGGTACCATTAATGATATCATGACTGTTCTCATTCATGTCTGATTTACATCTAATGAAAAAGTTTAGAAGAATTTTCTTATTCTTTCTGGCATATTTTTGTCTTTCCAGTACTCCCGCTCTAATGGTCCCAGATGTGTTGGCTTTGACTCTCTCAAGTTCTTAGATGGTATAACATCTTCAACGCCTCCTTCATATCTTACTTTATAAGTGTCATCGTTTATGTTATAGCCAAGTATTTCAATAACCACTCCTCGCTTTGCTTCGTCAATGGTTTCAGCAAGTTTGCCATTACTACTTTCGACTAATTTATGACGAGGGTAAAACGCAATAGAGTCGTCAGCAGCTTTTATAAGATATCCATTACCTCGCGTAGAGTCTACGATATAATAGTTTCTACTTAACCTTAAACGTTTCTTTGTCAACGGGTTGTCGTCAAGAACTACACGAACTTTTGTACCAGGAATGAGGGTAAATTGTGTTGAATTTCTGATATTTTGTGTTTGGCTTCGTTTCTTTTGTATATACTTTTCTTCTTGTTGTTGTGTCATTGAATTTGGTGTATGTCCTGTTGTAGAATGTGTTGAGGAATTATATACTTCGAGAAAATGTTTCATTGTTTCTTCGGTAAAGTCTCGCTCTTGATTTAAATCTCTGAGAGTCTTATGAAGCGGTTTATGATGCCGAGTATGTTATGGTTATGGTCTTCAGTAGTGTAGTGAGTTATGTTATGCTTAATGAGAAATTCTGTGATTTCGTTGCTGAGGTATGCTGAATCTGGTCTGATGTTAAAGTACTTGGGCTATGTTCTGCTACAAACTTTTGTAAAACTCTTAACACTTCACGAGTTCCTTTATTCATTGGATATGCATATGCTTTACGAGTGTTAACATTTATGAAGATGAGGAATGGTTTATGTCCTCCTTTTCTGCTTTGAATGAGAGTGTCAAATTGGTATGCGTCAGGAGTGTTGGAGTAAATTGGTAAAAAGTAGTCGTAAGGATTTATTTTTGTTTGATGTACAACATTTTTGTCAAAGAACCTTTTCACTTCAGCTCTGTTAGTAAATCCCGAACTCTTTGCTGCTTCATTGAACTTCTTAAATGACCTCCATGGATGTTGTTCGAATACTTCTTTCAAGCTCATTTATGTAAAGTTAAAGATTTCATTGAACGCGGTAAGCCTAGATCCTTTGAGTCAAGGCTCAAGTGTGTTTATTGAACGCGGTACCATGCGAATATAGTCACAAATGGTGGCATATAATCTGCACCCGAGCCTGTTGGATTTGTTGTGAAAGTGTGTGAATGATTTCCTCCTGGTTCAGTTGGTCGAAAAGTCTTTTTTGCCGAATGGTTATAATCTGGAGATAAAACGTCATTGCCAGCACAATATTCTGAGTTGTATAATGGATGGTCTCTTAATGAGTGACTATGGTCACCAGAAAAGTTTGTAGTTCCTGTATGAGTGTGCGGTGGAAGGTTTGCTTCTTTAATTTTCTTCGAACCACCTGTTTGATTTGAAGAGTTAGCACAGTATAAGAATTTGTCTACAATCTGCTGCCATGTACCAAAACCCAGAACTGTTGCTGGATTTGTTGAGTTCATTGATGTATAAATAGAACCAACAGGATATAATGTTCGAAGTATTTCAGTCTTTAATGTTTGAAGCTCTGTTTTGTCAGCTTTACTATCTAACATTGCTGGTAGTTCGTATGCTTCAAAGTTTCTGGCATGATCTTCGATATTCCTGCAACTCTTATCTAAATTGTTAAGAGTATCTTTTACGCTTGTACTCGGATTCTCTAAAGGTGCATTTGAACCCAAATCATAGTTCAATATTATGTCGTCTGCTCTAACAGTAGTGAAGGATTTATGTGTATGTTCTTTGTCAGCTTTACTATCTAACATTGCTGGTAGTTCGTATGCTTCAAAGTTTCTGGCATGATCTTCGATATTCCTGCAACTCTTATCTAAATTGTTAAGAGTATCTTTTACGCTTGTACTCGGATTCTCTAAAGGTGCATTTGAACCCAAATCATAGTTCAATATTATGTCGTCTGCTCTAACAGTAGTGAAGGATTTATGTGTATGTTCTTTGTCAGCTTTACTATTTAATGTAGCTTGAAGTTCATTTATATCGGAGATATTGTGTTTATGAGATTTCAAAACTTTGTTCATTGCTTCGAGTTCAACTTTGAATGTTTCATTCATCCAAAGTCATTCTCTTTAGACCCTAACATTTATACAGAACTTGTAGAACATTATACAAACGAGGCTTTATGTTTTCCTGTTAAAGTTATGGATTGGATTCCTATGGACGGTTCATTCTCAAAGAATACAGATAGTTCAAGTGCAACATTTACAGCAGCTTATACGCCTATTAATGTTAAAAGTATTTGGGCACTATTTAGAAAGAAAGACAACTATTATGTTAATTTTGAGAACCCTAAGTTTAAATATCTTCAGCTTTCCATGGGAGCTTATGGAAATATGCCTGCAGAACCTGAAAAATCATATGGACCTGTATTTTATGAAATGGTTGCGAACGCTTGCAATACAAACAATGATATGATAGGATTTAATGAAGATGTTATGAGGTCATTGGTGGATGATGGTAGTGTGGAACATAAATGGGATAGCTATGACAACACACATTTCTTATGTGGTTTTCCAACAGAAGTGGACTTTTGCTTCCAGCAAGGTCAAACATCTACTGCTCCAATAACATACAAATTGTCTGTTAAAGGACCTATTGAACTAGCAACTGAAAATGTACCAAAGCCACTTATTGGATTTATGAGGGATTGTTGCTTTGCCATTCAGGTGCGTGCTAATGGCATACCAATAATAAGACTTGACGACTATAACTTAGCAACTGACGACAGTGAGGAATAAAGGATGAACGTTTATTTTTAAAGCTTATAAATGAGTTCTTCATCAAGCTCTCGTGAACCTTCACCATCTATGAAACAAACTTTACCAAACGATTATGGAGCACCTATTGAATATTTCTTACGAGCTGCACAATGGCAAAGAGCAGTCTCACCAAGGTTAGGTGTTCCACCAGCTCCTGTCAAAAATAGCATTTGGTCAAGTCCTTATATAAGATATGGTCTCCCACTAGGTTTGCTAGCTACAGCAGGAGCAGTTATGATGTTGAAAAGAAATAAAGCAAATGTTGTAAATAATACTGAAGTAGCTGAAGTTAAACAAACTCCAACACCTTCACAAGCAAAACCTTCAATGACTCCTGAACCTATGGAAGTACAAACTCCTGTTCAAAAGTCAACTCCTAAACCGACTCCAACATTTAAACCAGAACCTACTCCTCAAATAAATCGTAAAACTCCTGCGTTTCCTTACTGAAAAAATAACGTTATTTTTATTTAATATTAAAATTTTTATTTGATTGAAATGACAAATAAAGTCACTGAAGCAATGAAACAAAAGTTTTTGGTAGAATACATTAAATCAGGAACTATTCCAGAAGGTTTTTACATTCATACTATGAAGGATGGTAGAGTTCAGTTTAGAAAGATAAAGCAACCATTAGATAGAGAAGGTATATTAAGGAAGATTAAACTTCATGAGGACAACATTGCTGAACTTAAGAAGAAGTTAGAAGAGTTGGAGAAAGGAAGAGAGTTATAAAGCAATGAATTCAACAGGGTGAAAAAAGAGGTGAGATCTCACCACTTCACCTAAATTTATTTTTGTGCTATGTTTTCATACGTGTGAGGGTGGTGATATCATTTATTTTTAAGTTTATTTTTTATTTTACTAAAAATTTTTATTTGGATGTAATGACAGAACAAAAGCAACTCATACAAATCAAAACATATAACAAACATACATTTAAACATTTATTCTTCCTTCCTGAGCATAACATGTTCTTTCAAATACATCCGAGACCAGTTGACTTTTCATTGACTGTGTATAAAGATAGAAATAGTTATATCATTAAACCATACGATGACGAAGGTAAGTTATGTAAATTGTACGTTAAGAAGTTAGAGAAAGTTTATGGCTTCAAGTATGACTACAATAGGGTTAACACTGATGATGAAGATATTGAGGAAAATTTATGAGAACATTAGTGAAGTTGTTAGTGAGAACGATAGTGAGGTGAAATTGTTGGCGGCTTTGTAAATATTTAAGGTTAAGTTAGTTTTTGCGTTCATGTTGTAAAATATATGTTAACGGTTTTGTAAAGTGTCAAATTCACAAGTACTGGGTAAGGTGGAACGCAGTGCCACCATACCCAAGACTTGTATACTAACTACAAAATGGTTTGAATGTTATACGACAACACAATTTGAATTCGACTTTCTCGAATTCAACGCAGCAACCATTCATATCATTGCTCTTTACCTTTCCGAACAACAACAAGACCTCGCAGATGGAGATGTTGTTACTGTCGTCATGAAAACTCCTGAACAATTCGGAAAAAAGAAGTCTCTAATTGCCAAATTCGTTCCAGGACATCAGCTTTTCCAACGCACAGAAGTCTTCTGTATTCCTGGAACTAAGTTCTTTGTCAGGAGCGAACTCAAAGAAAGATATAATGTGTCATTCAATTACACATTATATAATGTTTTCGACCCAGAAGAAGGCTTCTTCCCAGAAGCAATGGAGGAGGAAGAAGAGGAGGAGGAAATACAAGACTCTATCCAAGAAGAGTCCTCCGAATTCACACCAGAAGACTAACAATTTTCCGAATAAAAACTTCATTTATACTAAACATCTTCGGGGCTAGAGGGCGCAACGCGCCTGGAAGCCCCACTTACCTGACCTAAAATCGAAAATTTAATAAAGGAGAGATAAAATTATTGTAGTATTCAATTGAAAAATTTTATAAAATAAGGAATATTGGTAAACAAATAAGTTTCATCAAAAAAAAGGAAAATAAAAATATAAAAATTGAAATAAAAACAGAAATATAAAATATTTTTAAAATGCAAAAAAGTTTCATACTAATCGTTTTTGTATAATATTTATCATTGAAAGATTATTGAAAGATATTTTGAAAGAAATCGAAAGAGTTAAGAAATATTGAGAAGAAGGACAATTGAATGAATTTTTGGCCGATTGTGCTATGCAAAGTTGATGATAATTGCAGGAAATTTTGAGATTTTCGAGGTTTTGGAGGGTGTGAGTACTATTATATGTAATAGTATCTCACACCCTCCAATTCATCCTATGGCGTCGAGAAAATTTTGGTGAAATGCGACGACATTTCACCAAAATTTCTCGGCGCCATATAGAGAACTAGAGTCTGCGAGGTACTGATTCTATCTATGTACCTCGCAGACCCTAGTTCTCAGCCAAAATGGCTAAAAATTGCTCGTATTGTTTGCCATGTAAACTGTCACTTTTTGAGGAGATTTGACGTTCTGTCAAATCTCCTTTTTTCGTATATAAGAATAAAACGAGTCCTCTCAAAAATGTCCGCCTTTTGAAAGACTTGATCCTCATCCTAAAGTTATGCAAATTAACCTCAGAAATTCAAAATTTGCATAACTATATAATTATTTCTCTGCAACGAATGCATCAACCATCAACGTAGATAATACACCATTTACATGGTTCAATTCAGATTAATAAATGATAAAACAATACGCAATGCCCAACAAACAGTATGGAGTCCATATTTGGAGAGAAGTGATATCATTTATTCAAAATATTTTCGGTTTTAATAATAATTGGTTGCATGTATTTGACTGATAAAAAATGTAAAATTTCGGATTGCAAATTGAAAATTGAATGAAAATTGATGTCATAATGATCCGAAATTGATATCTCTTTCAGACGATCCATTCGGATTTTATGTAGGATAAGATCACAAAATAGCAATGGTATGCCTTCATTATGATGGCATATCTAAATTATTCTTTCAGTTTCATTTTCGTATAAGCTCAAAAGGAATGTTTACGATTTTGATCATTTAAACTCATCTTTCTCATTGATTTTTTGATCTGTTAAGCCTTATGTTACATTATTTTCTTTTGAAAATGAAATGTGCTGTGATTTTCTCTGTTTTGTCATTTTTTGAGGTAAATAAACTTGGAACGTTGATCTTATGCGTTTGACTTGCAATAATGCAAGCATTTCATATGATTCTTTGATAAAATTCGAGATCAGAATTAATCAAAAGATGTAGCTAACTGAAATTAGTAAGTTTATTTCTTATTGGCTAGATAAAGCAATATGATATGAATTATCAAATTGAGATATCTTAGATTTTGGGCAGCTAAGCGACCAAACGATGTTTGTTTTATTCTTCTTCTTTACTACCTTAATAGGATGTATCGGTCCAAGAAAGCCAAATGCTGAGCAATCCAGCTGGGAAGAGTACGAAAAGAAGATGGGAGGAAAAGATAATTGTCATGGTTCAATTTGTTCAAAAGAAAAACCTGCACCAGCAAGCCCTGAAGTAAAAGAAGTTGATAAGCCGAAGAAAGACTTATGATATCCATAACTCTTTAAGCTTAGAAGAACTTTAATTTCAAAAACTTATCAAAACAACTTTATTACAGTTTGAAATATGTTCCAAATTGTAAATCCTATATACTTCAACCTCATTCAATACTATCTTCTTTGATTTGTACAAATTAAATAGTTTATGTTTTTTAACATTCATTGCTTGTTATATTTTTGCAGATGCTTGGCTACCAGTTGTTATAATAGATGCAATCTCTTTGATTGGTAATCTAACAATGAGGTCTTGAGGATTTGATCTCTTTTTTTAGAATTTAATTAATGATTTCAACATAAGATATATGTGTGTGCCATCAAGGTCTTCAAAAATCTATCGAACACTGTATCTTGAAAAAAATTAAGGAAATCAAATTTAAAATAAAAGCATAGCTTTGATAATTGTTTACAAAATAATCTACTGGCAGTTAGTTACTCTTTTCCTTTATGCAGCGTGGCTTCAAATTCATTCCGCCGCAAATTAATGCAAGAAGGAAATAAAATACAATGAAGATTACAAGGAACCAGAATAAAAGCTCCTTGTAGTATTTGCAACGCATTTGATTCTTTAACTGAGTTGATGCCTGCTTGAAATCTTCACTATTTGATAATAACTGCTGGGATTTATCATCAAGGTCTTCGAGCTGATTTCCACGGCTGTATGCTTTCGTCATTGCATCTGTTAACTCTGCTTGTGTTTGTTCTAACGTTTGTTGAATAGCTTTTGTCTTGTATGCTGGATTAGCAAAAGATCTTGTAAATTCGCCGAATGCTTCTTGGAATTGCTTATCGTATATATGACTTGTAGGAGTTACAGTCGATCCACCGATTGTTGGACCCCAACGGTGAGAAATAGCATCTAAATAATTAAGAGGGACTCTTCTGTCTTCTGTTTGAGGTGTTACGCATACAAATATTAAAGATGAAAGAGAAAGAAATGAAAATATGTAATTTGATGAGATAACTTGTTCTGTTTTTGCAGATGCTTGAGGTAAGAGCTTAAGAACCTCCTTTTCGAAGTCAGCCTTATCAACAACTAAAGATGCAATCATTGTTCTGTCCTTAACAACAGCTGCATAAAGAATTGTCATTATAAAAAAATGATTTAATGGGATTTAAATGATTCTATTGCAACTGTTTATAAATTTATTCGCCCTTATTTCGCTGCTAATGCTGAAATAAAAATTTTCAAAAAATTGTTATTGTCACTTCTCAAGCTAAAGGCATGAAGAATAGTGTTCTATTGTGAAAATTTCATCGTATTGTTTATGATATATTTCATAGAACCTGCATAAATGAGGAAATATCTTCATATTCAATGAAATAGTTATTCTCCAAAGCAAGGAAAGCATATTTAGCACATATAGTAGTTATTCAATTGAAAGAACAAGTAAAATAATAAATAAATGAAATTTTATTTTGTTTATTATTATTTCCGTTTTGGAAATGAAATTCAAATAATTTTTGTGAATGTTGCGGGTAATAAATTAAATAGTGGATTTACTTAGAGTCAGATGAATAATATCTGTATGAATAAGAAGAATAGTCTGATGAATCTTCACCATCTTTCTTCTTTGATTTTTCTTTAGGCTTCTCCTCCTTCTTCGGTTCTTCCTTCTTTGGTTCTGGTTTAGGTGCTTCCTTTACTGGTTCTGGTTTAGGTGCCTCCTTTACTGGTTCTGGTTTTGGTTCTGGTGGTGGATTAGATTGTTTTGGTGGCTCTGGTTTAGCAGGCTCTGGCTTTGGCTTAGGTGGTTCTTGTACAGGTTGTGGCTGAGGAGCTGGTTCTGGTTTCTTTGGCTCTTCGTATGTAGATTCGATAAGTCCTTCCTTTAATTTATCCTTTGGCTTTTCTTGTACAACTGGCTTTGGTGTCTCCTTTGGTTGCTCCTTTGGCTGTTCTGGTTGTTTGTAAACTTCTGGCTCGGCTAATAAATCTTGTTTGACATTATCTTCTGGTTTTTCTGGATCGGATCCCTTTGAATTGTCAACATTAAGCTGTTGTTCTGTAACTCCTTTATCATTGTTATTATTCGATCTTTCGCAACTTCCGAATGGGCAGCATATAGCTTGCAAAACTCCAGCGATAATAACGACGATGCCAGCGCATATTAAGATCCAGAAGAATACCATAAGCCTGTGTGGTTTGTGGCATCTGAGATTTGGAAGATTTGCAATGAATTCTGCTGTTTGATTCTCATCCATACCTTTTGTCTGCTTGCCAAGCTACTTCAGATATGATGTTGATTGATTTGCTGGCGATAATCCGATCTCGTGAATCTTATTGCATCTTGATTTTGAAGAAAAGCTTGCTTCACAGCAGTATAATATAAATGTAGTAATTCCTAAAAGGCCTATAATACCATTTAAGAGTTTTATCTGATTCTTCTTTAAAAATTGATAAAATTGAGCAGCTGCTGAAAACACGATTTCAATGAGTGTGAGAACCCATGAGAATAGAACTACGTAGTATAAATCTTTTGCAAAGCCGTTGTTCTTGCTTTGTGGAAAATCATATCTGATTTTGGCCCACCAAACTCCACTTTCGATAAAAATACCGAGAGATCCTGCAAGAATTAAGCAAAAACCAATTATTAAGCATGCAACCATTATTCCATTAACGTGAACTCCTATTTTACGAGCGAGTTATTTATCTTTGTAAATTTTTATCCTTGACGATATTTCTAAGAAAAGTTTGATACAAAAAATGGTCATGATTAGAACAATCATTTAAATGGTTATCAGGATCATTTTTTATTTATCTGGCTCAAAATTAAATTATCCATTGAATCGTGGAAATAAAATAAAAAATTCAATAGTTTACAAATGGCAAAATAAATTTTTTATGAAAACAATGGATTTTAATTATCGGCAATATCGAAATACACTTCTTTTCTGGGAGTGGAAAGTGCCGATTCTTTTCTAAGAACAGAATTTTCTCTTTCAGATTGGATTAAAGATTCTTTTGTTATTTTTAAAGCGCTTCTAAGCTCTGATATACCTGCATAAAGTCTTTTTCTTTCTTCATTAAAGTTATCCTTAAACTCTGCGTAATTATCGATCGCCGAAGAATTTATCCTACTATGAGAAGATTCATTTGCTAATTTTTCCGCAGCTGAAACTGCTTTTTGTAATCTTTTGTGGATATCATTATCAGCTGGGAAGTCCTCTCCTGCTAAACAACAAATTGCTGATGCAGCATTTTCTACTTCTGCCGCTATTTGACTTCTTTGGGCTTCTAAATTGCTCTGAATTGCTGTTGAATTTTGAAACATTTTTGTTACATCACCAAGCTGTTTAGCTAGTTCTAGCACTCTCTGTTTGGATTTAGCAGCTTCTTCTTTATATGTTTTAACTGAACAATATATTTCTGTACATTTGGAATCAACTTTTGTAATAATTTCAGAAAATAATTTTTCAATTGTTGATAAAAATATATCTACTCTATTTGGAACATTAGCTATAGCTTGTTGATATCTAATAATTGTCTTATGCAGCTCATTCACTTGCGAACTCTCTCGAACTGCTGAGTTTTGCAATTCTTCATTTTCTTCTGCGATATTTTTAAGAGCTGTCTTTATTTGGAAGATTTTCTCCTTTCTAGAGTTTAATCGTAGTTTTAATTTATCAATGGAAGACTTCAATTGAGTATTTGACATTGATAATAAGTTATTTTCATTTCTAAGATTTTCTATTAAAGATTCATAGTTCAACGTTGCTTGAGTGGATTCTGACAGTGCTACTGATGTTGATTTTGCGTATTCATCATGTCGCTGTTTCTCTAGTTGGAGCTTATTCTTTAATTGTTGGTATTTTTCATCGCTACGGGATAGATCTTCTTTAAGATTTTTAATCTGCTTTTCTTGTAATTCAACTAGATTCTTAAGTCGATTAATCATTATTCGATTTTCGTTAATTTCTTTTGTTTTACAATTAATCACCTGAGTTTTGTTCTCAGATTCACGTAATATATCATCAACCATACTGCTCTGATGGTTCTGAACTTCAGAAAGTATTTCATTATGTTTTTTGATGTATTTATCTTCATTATTTTTAAATGATTCTTTCATTTCACGATATTTCCGACTAAGATTGTCATATTTTGTTGTAATTTCGTTTTCTCTTTGTTGATATTCTGATAACTGCTGCTTTAAATCCGTTACTTGCTTTTGTAAAATTTGTATTTCTCTTTTAGAAGCAAGATATTTGTTGTTTAAACTTTCGTTCTCGATTATAGTTTGTTCATATGCTGAATTTAAGTTTTTATAGTAGTTCTTATCTGAAGTTAAGTTTTTATAGTAGTTCTTATCTGAAGTTTGAATTTGAGTCTGAATCGTTGAGTAATGAGATGAAATTGAATTGGTAACTTTATCATTGGCATTAAATCTCTCTAGTTTTATCTTTGAATTCGTTGAAGCGCCTCTCTCAGCGCTTGTTTTAAACATTTTTGTGCTCAATTTATAACGTCTTTATAAAAATGAAGATTAAAAATTTAACAAATAAATGTGATTTTTTGAAAAATGGAAAAAATTTGGAATATTTAAAATCATCAAACAGTTTCTATTTTACAAGAGTAATATAAATTACATCTAAAAATATATTGATTTGTATATTATATTTTTATAAAATTTATTTTTTAAAAAATCAATTATATTTCATCAATACAATAAACAATTTACAAACAAAAAATACAAAAATATATCTATAATGCTAAATTAAATACTGGGAGATTCTAATTGAGAACATTTTGAGTGTTTCTTTGGAATTTTGATCAATATTCGGGGAATCAATGAGCATTGATATTGCCTGGTAAACTATTTGTCGCTGTCTTTCGGTAAGTCTGTCTATACTATCGAAATGTCCGATCTGAACTGCGATGCAAGCAGCAAAAACGTCAACACTAATGGAATCGAAGAATCCCAGGGTTACTTTGCAAGCAGGAACAACGATGTTCGCCCATAGGATCGAGCCATTCAGAAATTCTAAAGCTTCAGTAAAGACGTTTAAAAGTACTGAAATTTTTGAAGGGTCTGTCACCTTTTTCAACATATGGGTAATAATTGAGAGCATATCTTGAGCTATTGGATATAAATTGAGTTTTAATGACTCATGAAGGAATTGGATGAACGATTCGAACAGAGCATCATCGGAAGAGTTTGCAACGATTGTACCCCAGAATTCGTACGAAGAAGTGATAACTCTTTTATCTTTTCCGATATCGTAGATTTCCATGGGTATTAAATCAGCTATTACATGGGATTTAGAGTTGTTTGCCAACATCTCGCATTCCTGAGTCACAGCGGCAGTTACGTACGGTGGATTTTGGGACATTAAAGATCTAAATCCCTTCATTAGTTGGGATTGGATGGCGCTCTCCACGGAAAGATTACGCTCGTTCTGCTCTACTCTGTCTGTGCGATGGTAAATGCTCATTTCGCGTTGGACAGATTCAACAATTTGTTTGAACAAACAAACGACAAGGAAATAAAGGAACTGGTCCGGTATAGAAAAGTTCTTCGTGAAATACCCTATCATACTTACGAAATAGATTGTTACTGAAGAAATAATTTCTATGTTGGATAACGTCGAAAAAGCGAGAGCGCTCTGTTGCATTGCAAGAATCGCACGCTGTATACCACTATCTGACGATTGATCGAATGTTGGCAGTAGTTTGTGCATGAAAATTATAACATATTTATTAATCGACTGAGAAATACATTTGTTATGCAATCCTACGATAGCTACGAGTATATCTGTGTTGTGTGCGTTGAACTGTTCGTGGCATGTCTCGCTAAGTATGTTTAAAATGTCAAATGCGATAATAACTTTTGTAATGTCGTTCTTTTTGTAGCAAATCAGCTCGTTTTCTTCGACAGAAATACGTATCTCATACTCGAATAAATCCGCACGATTCGTGTTGAAATCAAAGTGATCTGGCAAATAATCTTCTGAAATTGTTTTGAGAGAAGTTTCATAGATCACATTGAAATACTTTGAAAAAGCTACAGGAAATGTCTTCATAACGATAATAAAAGTGTCTCTTATTATATTCAAACTTGTCAAAGATAAATTTTGATTAATAAGATCGACAATCAAGTTCAAGAATCCATCAGCGAACTCCAAACCTCTATCGGATGGAAGAACATATAACAAGGAAGCGTATAACTGTATTGCTCCGAAGAAAGAAATTTCATCGTAACTTTCCAAACCGTCTTTAATGATTTCACTGGTGATTTCTAGGGTCCTATCTGCATAAGGGAGGTAATTTTCTTTGCATGTTGCTGCAATTATTGCTAATGCTTTGAATATTGAATTTAATACGTCAATGTGATCAGTATCTACAATACTAAACAGGTATTCGACAAGTCCACTGCATGATTCGGGCAATGACTTTGGGAATAATGTGATTAATTGAGTAATAACTTCTAATGAAATTTTTGTGAGAAGAACAGATGTTTGAGCACTTGAAATCTGGATGAGTGCATCTATGAGACCATCAGTACTAAGCTTGTATGCCTTACTCCACATGTGGGAGAAGGCTTCTAATATTTCGCGAAATGTTTCAAGAGAAACATATCGAATCACGTCATTTTCAGATGTAAATGCTGCCATAAATATATCCATGTTCTCGTTTGGGAAGTAGCAGCCGTGAAAAGCCGTAACGTAATCACTGATGCATCCCATGAATAAAAAAGCTGTACAAATCGACTGAAATGTGTCTTCTTCGATCAGATTAACAAATTTCTGTATAACATGTGCGAAAAACTGATAGTAACCTTGGTAAATTTTGGCAAGTTGTCTTAAAGATACAATTCCGAAGCTATGAAGTGAGTAATCAACGAATGGACTGATTGTAGGGTCGAATGTCTCATCAATTTGTGAGATACATTGTAGAAATAGATCGAAAATTTGATCTGATTGTTCAAAAAAATAATCCGGAGAGACTTTGATAATACGAGTGATTAATTTCATTGCTAAACCGCGCGTAGACATTTGTGCATCGCCGTTTTGAACCAAAGAAATAAGCGGCGGAATTAATTCTTCAGCTCCGTCGCTAAAAATATTGCTGATCATGAGTTTATAAGCGGATAAATCTCTCAAAAGTATATTTAAATGAGGTTCTTGGAAAACAGAAATCGCTGATACGATCGAATCTATATAAACTGAAGTATCGAAGCTCGAACATGACGAATATATTATTCTAAAAACTGCAAGCGTAATATTCGGGTCTTGATTTTCTACTGACAATTTAGACGAAATTAAATCGTTGAGTTGGTTTACGTAGGTTGCGAGGGATAATAGCCCATTATTTATGAATTGCGCCAAACAAGATATGGAATTAGACACAACGCTTACATCAGATGAATTTGCAAGCTCCCATAGAGGAGAAATGAAATCATAGGTGATCCCATTTTGTTTGGACGCCTGGCAGACTAGAATAATGATATCACATGATAGTGTGCGCATTATTTCATTGTATTTATTGTTTGATATTACATGGAAAAGAATTTCTGCTATCTGACTGATGAATTCTTCAGTAAAAATGCTTGTATTTTCGTTTTTACAGATGAATATTAGCCTTTTTAGTAACACTGCCGAAGTTTTTTGAACTACAGTCGAAGGTAATTCTTGAATAATTTGGAGGTGCAGTTGAATTACTGAGTTAATATCTTGTTGAACTAGATGATTATAAACGTCTTCTTGCCGACTTTGATTTTCATTGTCGTCTGAAGTGCAACAAATGAGAATTAGTTTCTTGAAGTCTTCAAGATCCATAATTCTCACTAAAAAATAGTAAAAAATTTAGGATTCTATGAGCTCTATCAAAAATTTGTTAGGTTTATTTTAGATCCCCTCAATTAGTCTTTCCTCCCTTCAATTCCAATTTATTTTAGTGACTAATTTTCGATTTTTCCTATTCTTCATTAAACATAGATCAATTTATTTTTTAATTTCCAATTTGAATCAAATCGAAAATATCTTTATGTATTTTTGTTTAAATCTTATTTGTAATGCAGTAATATAAGGTTTGACTCCTTTCTGATACCTCAGAAAATTCCTCACTTTTTATAACGATTTGTGTTGGTCATTTTGATATACTCAAATATGCTCCTACTATCTAATAATTAATTCTCATTTTTTTCAATTAATTGACCTTTTCTTATGACTTTTACAGTTCTATTTCATTTCAGATCTTAGGCAAGATAATTCCTTTCCAGTATCTTTAATCGATTCTTCAAAAACAAGTCTTTGGAAAAACAGTGAACTATCGAAATTCCTAAGTGGAGCAACAATGATGATCAAGAAGAGTACAAATCAGTTTCAAACTTAATGAAATCTCTTCGTTCGATGCTACAAAGCTCAAACTTAATTTTGCACCGATTATATTTTATTAATTGCGCTATTCAATCGATTTAACTCACTTAACACCAAAGTTGACACAAGTGTATTCCAAATCTAATATCATGAATGCTTATTCAAAACAATTTCATTTGATTGTTTCAAATATGGCCCTTTATAGCTTCAAATACTATCTATAAACTAAAGATAGTGCAAAAATAAGAATCTATAATGTTTCTTTCTTATGGCTAATAATAATCTACTGTGTTGCATATGAACATCTCAAAAAACAAAAAATCAAGACTTTTCATAACTATTAACATTATGTATTTCCAATAGGAGAAAGACAGGAATCAAATCTTAGTTCAATTCGAACGATAAAATATAAAATAAGAAATATCTTGTTCAAATATTATTGGTCAAAATAAATTCGGTAAGTACTGTCTATTACTATTAATGCGCTCTATTATTCCTTCAAATTAAATAATAAAAATATTATTTAACATTTCTTTGAAGGAACGTTATTACATTATGTGAAAAAACTATGTTTGTAACAAAATTAATTGTTTAATCCGGGATCCATCACGAACAGGAGTAATCTGAATCGAGTTTCCGGACGAATCCGGCGACATGTATCTCACTCACAAACGCAGCGTGCTTAGCCGTTCCATCCCAAATGGGTCTTCGCAGGGCTTGCCATTATATGGGCTCGTTACTGGTTCCAAGCAATGCGTTCACCGCATGTTCCGCCAAGAAAACAATTAGCGCTCTCAGACTTTCCCACAGCCGTAAGACAGAGCAAGTCTATCAGTATGGTGGCTGTTACACATCCTCCATCGTGATGAATGGCTATCGTCCCGATTTCTGATGTTTACATGTGATTTGACCATTAAAAGGTGAGGTGAAATATTAATGAAAGAAATCAGTTAATTAACAGATATATGAAGAAAATACATCAATAATAATTTTCTGAATCATAAACTTTTTCAATATTGACTCGAAAACTTTGCCGCTACAATTATAAATCTTATATCAACCAGATAAAAAAATAAAAGAACTCCATACCAAAATGATGAGATAAAATAATGCAAACATTTATTCTATAAAATAAAACAATCAAATTAATTATTAAGTTTAGAGTCATTTTCTATTATTGACTTTGCACGAGATAAGTTTGATTCAGATTCAGCAATTGTTGACATGCTCGGCCGCTGGCTCATTGCCATTACAGCTCTATGTTGAGAAGCAACAACTTTACTCATTTCTGTGATATTCTTTTCGCGTTGTTCAAACAAAGCTTTAATAATTGCAACTAATTTGTGCAATTGATCGAGTTGCCCTTCAATATCATCTTCTGTAGGTTGCATGAAGTTTCCAACATTAGGGAATGTAGTTAATTCTTTTCTAACTGCATTTAAGATTCTTCTTTGTTTTTGAAGCAATGTTTCACTTTCAGATTCAACTTGAACTGTTTTGTCTGGATACAAATCCAGTTTCATTCTTGGATTCTTGATGAAAGGTGAGATATCTTCTAATCCTATTGCATTCAATACATCGTTAAACTTATTTAAGAACTGAGAAACTTTTTCAAAGTTATTGAGAGAACTGAATTTCGGTGAATCAGTCAAATCTTTGATTTCAGCTAAATCTGATTTCAACTGAGCTAGTTTAGCATTTTGAATCTTATTCTCACCAATAAGTTTAATATTATCGGTGTTTGACGTCTGGAGTTTCGAACCAATTTCGTCAAGCGCTTTTGTCTTGTTTTTGAGTTCATTTCTGAGATTTTCAATTGTTTCTTCATTTGATTTATTTTTGTCTTCAAGAATAGCAATATTTTGTCTTCCAGCTTTTTCTACATCTGTTAATTCTTGTATCTTTGCTTGCATCTTGAAGTTTTCTTGTCTGAGTTTTTCATTTTCATCTGATAATTTATCTCTTTCCGCTTCCAGATTATCGATTTTCTTTTCTCTTTCTGTGATGAGTTTTTCATGAGCTTCAATATTCTTAATTAACATTTTGTTTGCGCTGTCGGCATTTAATAATTGGTTGTATTTCTTTTCCATGTCTTTATGTTTTCTCGCTAATGTATTAAAGATCTCATCATCAGTTTGTTTCGACATCTGAATCCTTTTCATTTTTTCTTCATTTTCTTTTAATTCCTTTTGAATTGATTGCATTTCATCATTTGTTTTCTGTGTTTCGTGTAATTCATTGTCTCTCATTTCTTTGAGTTTACCATAAACATCAAACAATCTAGCGAGTTTCCTTTCTAATCTTTCTTTTTCTTTCTGAATCTTATTGTTTTTGTTTTCAGATTCATTTAGTTTTGATTTTAATTCATCAATCAAATATTGTTGTTGTTTTGATTTAAGAGAAAACTTTTCTATTATTGCTTGTTTCTCTTCTGCATGAGAATCATTTAAATCTGCAAGTCGTAGTTGTGCAGAATCTCTTTCACTTTTGATCTTCTGTATTGCAGATTCTAAATTATACATTTCATTTTTGTTTTTTAATTCTCCTTTTAATCTTTCTTCGTTTTCAATTGAAATAGAAGAGAGATGATTGTATTGATCACCTAAAAGTATTCTCATCTTAGCAAATTCTTCAAGGAAAGCTTCGTTCTTTGTTTCAAGTTCTTTTCTCGTATTTTCAAGATCAGATTTTAAATTTTTGTTATTTAGATTTAATGCAGCAATTGTTCTTAATGCATCAGCCTTGAACATTTCTAAGTCATTTATTGTGTTCAAAAGTTGTTGTTTTTCTGAATTTATTTTCTTAATTTCCTTATGCGCATTTTTCGCAATTGTTCGCTGCATAACGTCTGAATCATGAAGTTTCTTCTTAAGAATCTTAACTTTTACGTACTCAGGACTGTTAGTTTCTTCATCTGAAATTTCAGAATTTTCTTCTTGAAGTTGTGTCAGCATTTCTTTCAGTGTCATTGATTCTGACCTTAATACTGATAATTCTGATGCAAGTTTTTCTCTTTCTGCTTGAGTTGATCGTAATAATTTCGACAATCTTTGATAATCATTGTTTTGCTCTTGATTATTTCGTATTGTTTCATTCGCAGTGTCTAGTTTGGATTGTGTTTGTTTTAATTTATCTTGAAAAATTGATAGTTGCTGCTGCAAATCTTCGTATTTTTGTTGTAAATTAAAATCTTTTTGATTGTTTTGTTGAATTGTTTCAGAAGAATATAGCTTATTAGCATTATCTCGCATATACTGAGTAATTTCTTGTCTGTTTACAACTTGTATCTGTGGTAATGTAAAAATAATATATAGTTGATCATTTTCTTCGCGTCCAAATGGATTATTTGATATATCCAAACTAACTAATGTAATGTTATTCGTAAGCTTTTTGTATTCTTCATAGTCTTTTATTTTATTTGAACGAATACCTAAAAATCGAAGGTGTTTCAGATTTTTAATTGTTGATGGTATTGAATCTATCTTGTTGTTATTTAGAATTATTGTTTCTAAATCGACAATTTTCGTTAGTGGAGTAAAATCCGTAATTGAATTCCATGAAAGGTTTAATTTTTTCAATTTAAATAAAGAGGAAATGTTTCTTATGTTGGATATATTATGGCCAATTAAAGATAACTCTCGAATTGAGGTGTAACGAAATATCCTTTCAAGAATATTTATTTTTTTCATTGGTGGAGAGTAGTCATATACTGCAATTTTGATAGAATTTTCATTAGCATCGGGATTGCGCTCCTTTAAAAATTCGTCATTAAATGCGCAATTCATCCCTATTATCAAAATGAAGAAGATCTAAGTGAACTAGTAAATGATTATTATAATCAAAGAAAAAAGACATATTAATTCATCTAAAACTTGACATATTTTCAATATATTTTTATATGAACATAAATTTCTAATACAAGAAGTTTTAAGTGCACAGCATACTATATGATATCATTATTTTCTTTTCTCATGTTCTTAATATTCTGAATGATATCATCATTTGATATTTTTCTTACATTTATGATAAAAGCTTGCAAAGATTATTTGAATAGCATACGATGAGATAGAAGATATGTATTTGCTATGATTCCTTTAATGATTATTAAATTTTAGATTTCCCATATGCACAGTTTTGGAAAGGATTGGTCGACTACAATTATAACCATAATAGTTTATTGTTCATGGAATAGAATACTTAGAGACAATATTCTTTTTTCAAAAGACGACTTTTCTGTAATCTGACAATTTTTAAAATTCAATTCATATTTTCAAAATCAAGGTCTTTATTGATGCACATTTTCGATTAATATTATATATTTGGTATACTTCTACGTTACAAATACAAGCAAATCAAGAATTTCTTGCAATTTGACAACGATTATTTTTTAAAAAAGTGCAACACTAGGGTTGTTAGATTCCCGACGATAGGTGTCTTGGAAGATTTGCCTGGTGTCATCATAGTGTCTTTAAATCAAAAAATTTATTTTGGAGTTAGTTTTATTGATTTTTCAATAAAAAACATTTCTAAAACAAGAAAATAAAACGATAAAATATTTATATTTTATATAAGGATCTTATATATTTAAAATAAATATCATTTTATTTTTTTCATTGGTGTCTGTCAAACCATAATACACTATTCAAAAATTCAATGTGTCTTGCGGTTTCAAAAGACACCTTCAAATTGAACGATAGCACAGACACTATTGAATTTTACCCATTGTATTTAGTGTTTACCCTTTTTATTTTTAAGAATTAATGACTGAAACAGCCGTTTTGCTATGACCTCAATCACTTTTATTTATTATTTTAAATATTATTTAATTTTATTATTTGAATAGGCCAACTTATATTTGAGAAGCTCAATTTGAGACCACTTAATACATTGAAATATCATAAATATTGAAATATTAAAAAGTGTATTTCAAAATATTGAAATTATAAAAATTTATAATACTGAAATTGAGACAAATTAATAAATTCAATGTGTTTTTTTTGAAATAACTCTCAAATATTATTTTTTTGTTTATTTAATGATGAATAAATATGATTGCTTTAGTCAATCATAAAAACTAATTTAAGTTTAAAATAATGAAAGGATAATTTGATCGTTTTTTAAAATACAATTATTTTTGATGATTTGCAAGAATCTTTGAAAAGAATATAATATAGGTTCTATTTTTGTAAAATCTATCCAAATCATGTATTACATAAATTACGATTAAAACGATGAAAGAACCAAAAAGTGTGTTTTGTGTTTTGTTGTTGCGTGTTGGATGCGGGATCCTGTTATTTCCGAAATCGACAAAAAATTTGGAAATTTAATTTCCGAAATCGAAATTATATTAATGTTTTTAATATTCTTATATCAAAAGGATTAAAGTTCATTAAGAGAAAAACAATTCTTCTTCTTCAATCTATTGGCGCATTTATTTCTACACGCCAATAAGGAAGGGAAAATTATAAGACACCATGGTGTCTTCAAAACGCTAATTTTTGATATTTTTAACAACCCTACTGCAACACACTCGTGAATCAATATCAAAAATTGAGATAATGTAAATTGAAGATATGTTTCGACAAGTATTGACACTGTTGTCGACACACAATCACAATATTCTAAACTATGATCCTATATTCTCTGACTTTATCTTTAAAATATAAATATATAAATGAAATTGAGAGTCTGACAATATTTGCTAGAGAATTTTTGTTCACAATATTACTCATAAATATCATATTACTATGAGCTAAACATCTTGTTTTATAATGATTTAAAATTCAATCTGCGGTTCATTATTTTGTCAATGATAATAAATGAAAAATACTCAGTATTCAGCAGATAGGGTTGTTAAAAATATCAAAAATTAGCGTTTTGAAGACACCATGGTGTCTTATAATTTTCCCTTCCTTATTGGCGTGTAGAAATAAATGCGCCAATAGATTGAAGAAGAAGAATTGTTTTTCTCTTAATGAACTTTAATCCTTTTGATATAAGAATATTAAAAACATTAATATAATTTCGATTTCGGAAATTAAATTTCCAAATTTTTTGTCGATTTCGGAAATAACAGGATCCCGCATCCAACACGCAACAACAAAACACAAAACACACTTTTTGGTTCTTTCATCGTTTTAATCGTAATTTATGTAATACATGATTTGGATAGATTTTACAAAAATAGAACCTATATTATATTCTTTTCAAAGATTCTTGCAAATCATCAAAAATAATTGTATTTTAAAAAACGATCAAATTATCCTTTCATTATTTTAAACTTAAATTAGTTTTTATGATTGACTAAAGCAATCATATTTATTCATCATTAAATAAACAAAAAAATAATATTTGAGAGTTATTTCAAAAAAAACACATTGAATTTATTAATTTGTCTCAATTTCAGTATTATAAATTTTTATAATTTCAATATTTTGAAATACACTTTTTAATATTTCAATATTTATGATATTTCAATGTATTAAGTGGTCTCAAATTGAGCTTCTCAAATATAAGTTGGCCTATTCAAATAATAAAATTAAATAATATTTAAAATAATAAATAAAAGTGATTGAGGTCATAGCAAAACGGCTGTTTCAGTCATTAATTCTTAAAAATAAAAAGGGTAAAAACTAAATACAATGGGTAAAATTCAATAGTGTCTGTGCTATCGTTCAATTTGAAGGTGTCTTTTGAAACCGCAAGACACATTGAATTTTTGAATAGTGTATTATGGTTTGACAGACACCAATGAAAAAAATAAAATGATATTTATTTTAAATATATAAGATCCTTATATAAAATATAAATATTTTATCGTTTTATTTTCTTGTTTTAGAAAAGTTTTTTATTGAAAAATCAATAAAACTAACTCCAAAATAAATTTTTTGATTTAAAGACACTATGATGACACCAGGCAAATCTTCCAAGACACCTATCGTCGGGAATCTAACAACTCTATCAGCAAACAAATAATTGATTGAGGTGATATAAAAATTGAATTTAATTCAATGATCAAACCGACCCATTTGTATCTCAAAAATATAATTTTTTCTATGTCAGAGTTTTGATCCCTTTAGGAATCTTACATATACAGCCTTAATTTTCAAGATTTAATAATTATTGCTCAATGATGTAAAACCGATTCAGAAATTAATATTAGAGTGTCAGAGTATGTTTATTTGCGATCTTTTCTCATTACTAGTAAGTTGTTCATTTCTTGTAGCCCTAGAAATTTATTCTTATAATCCAGAATTTGCTTTATTCGGATATGAAACTCCGGATTGGACACCGGCATCATTCTTTAAAGTTAAGCGCAAAATTGATGTGCCTCTAGAAAAAAATTGGCCAGTATTACGATATATAAATGAAACAATAGAAGATCCTACGCAATACCATTTCTCATATAGAAAACCGAAAGAAACACACGACTACAACTTTTATTACAAGACACTTCAGACTACACACTATAGACTTGAAAGAGCATATGTTAGCTTTAATGGTGCTGTAGGTCTTGATGAAAACACCATTTTCCAACCAACAGATTTTGAAAGGAACGCTACAAATGCAAGTGTTGTAGGCCATTACCGCGAGGTTATTGTTACAGGATATTTATGGGCAACATATAATTTTGGCCATTCATTTGAAGATTTTTTCACTCCACTATTTTTAATTCCTGAAGAAATTAGAAGGAGATCACATATTATTGTATTCTCAATGCCATTTCTCTATAATACACTCCTGGATCTTCTAGGCTTTTTACCAGATCGAAGAATATATTTACCAAAAAATAAAGGTGAATATATTTCGGCTGATATACTCCATTGTTTTGCAAATAGAACCTTTTACATCAGTCAATGGGGGCCAAACACTTACAGATTTAAACGGTTCTTGCATGAAAAATTCGAATTAGATAAAATTACACCATCTGAATACTGCTTTACAAACAGGCCTAAAGGCAAGAGAAGGCATATTCATAATCTTGATGAAGTAATAAATTCAGCAAAAGCAAAGTTCCCAACAATTGATTGGAAATTTATTCCAGATAATCATACAAATCTTATTGAATGCGCCAGGGATTTCAAAAAGATTAAGTTTCTTTTCTCTCCTGTAGGTTCAAACATTTGTAAATGCATTTTTATGGCCGACAATACTGTTGTTATATGCGTTACAGCGAATTTCCCTGAAAATTCTCTGGCAGGTTTCTGTTTAAGTTGTAAATTATTTGAGTTACAATATGATTCAATCTCTGCTCATCATTTAGAATATGGTTCACCAATTAATGTGAACGATGCATTATTCCATATAGAAAAATGTTTGAAAGTATTAGAAACTGGAAATTGGAACGTATATAAATAATAAGAATATTAAAATTAATTTTGAAAATAATCTATTTAAAGTCGATTTATATTCAATTTTTTGAATAAATTCAAAATCGACTCGTAATCCAATAGTTGACAATTTGTAATATCTTTAAAATAGACGCATTATTCATATGGCGCAATGAAATAAAAAAATCAAAATGTGTAAAGCATATTTTGAATATACTTACTATGCAATTTCATACCAGTCTCTATTAAGTTATCGATATTACAATAAATAAGAAAATGATTGTTGAAGTTCTGTGTAGCTGTCAATGTTACATTTGATAAAAAAAATTAAAACATAAATTGAGTATAGCAAGCATTAATCCATTACTTCTAACTTTTTTAACAATTTGATGAAGTTTTAAGAACGACGATATATCTTGTTTGGCCAATTGTACAATTGCTACTTAATTCTGATTAAATTATAAAACATAATCTACATACAAAAATATAGTAATGCAATAATCTCGGGAACATGGCTCTCAATTTTGAATAGTTTACGAATTTCTCAAATAAAATTGAGGGGATTATGTTCCCGAGATTTTTGCAAAAACAGTTTTTTAAAAAGTTCTATAAATTCTTTTACAAAACAATATAACAATATGTATATCTTCAATATTTAGGTCAGGTAAGTGGGGCTTCCAGGCGCGTTGCGCCCTCTAGCCCCGAAGATGTTTAGTATAAATGAAGTTTTTATTCGGAAAATTGTTAGTCTTCTGGTGTGAATTCGGAGGACTCTTCTTGGATAGAGTCTTGTATTTCCTCCTCTTCTTCCTCCTCCATTGCTTCTGGGAAGAAGCCTTCTTCTGGGTCGAAAACATTATATAATGTGTAATTGAATGACACATTATATCTTTCTTTGAGTTCGCTCCTGACAAAGAACTTAGTTCCAGGAATACAGAAGACTTCTGTGCGTTGGAAAAGCTGATGTCCTGGAACGAATTTGGCAATTAGAGACTTCTTTTTTCCGAATTGTTCAGGAGTTTTCATGACGACAGTAACAACATCTCCATCTGCGAGGTCTTGTTGTTGTTCGGAAAGGTAAAGAGCAATGATATGAATGGTTGCTGCGTTGAATTCGAGAAAGTCGAATTCAAATTGTGTTGTCGTATAATATTCAAACCATTTTGTACGGTTGTCTCCGAACTCGTCAACGTATTCATCTTCGTCATATCCGTAACTAAAGACTTGGAATTCGGCAATTCTCTTGTCGAATGACCGTTGGATGTAACGAGGAAGATTTTGACGAACTTGGTATAAAGTTCTCAACATTATAAGCTTAGTAAATGTTGGAAAATACTGAACTAAGACATCGCTAAGCTCAATTGGACTTGGAATTGTCTTAGTAAGTTCAATTGAACTAGTAATTGCTTTGTTCAGAACTTCACAGAACTGAGTATTGTATGTAGCGTCTGGTTGTGTGTTTTCTTCGGCGTCTTTGAGATATTTAGAGCAAATTTGTTGAAGAATTTCTCTTAATTCGCTGTTAGACTTTTTGGTGGTTATTCTAACCGCTGTGCCAGTTCTTGGAGGTTGTGGAGCTTTGGCTTTGGTTAGCGGTTGAGAATTGTTAATGTTTGAATTGTGGTTAACAGCGTTGGCTTCCATTAGATAAAAATGAACTGACCAAAAAAGACAGATATTTAAATATTTGAGATAAACCGTTTTCGTCAACGGTAACCCCCTCTATTTTTTTATTTTATTTAATAGTTACCGTTAGAAAAACGGTTTATCTCAAATATTGAATGAACTATAAACGTTTTTTGTTTTCTATATATACTTTTTTGTCCAACGGTAAAACTTTTTACACAACGGTTTTTGAGAGTCGTCGCCGTTGACTTTTTTGTAGAGCACTCAAAATAGTATAACTTTGTCCGGACAAGTAAGGGTCTATCGTCGCTACAGGAAAAGTTACAGGCATTCCAAGGAAGTATACTTTGAGAAGCCTTTTCTCCATTATAGAATGAGATAGGACGGTTATTTTACAAAACTGACAACACTTTGACCGAGTAGTTTTTTGTGCTGAACAAAAAGTGTCATATAAACATCTGTCAAAAACCGCTTTTTAACTTCACTTAAAATGCCACGTAAGCTACGTAAGAATATACGTAAGAGGAAGGGAGCATTGAAACATCCAATAGTAAAACTGACACCACAACAACAGTTGCAACAACAAATGATGAATGACCCCACTATGTTGCAACAAATGTCAAGCAACCCTATGCTTTTAAACCGAGTTATTGGTGCACAGAGTGGAGGTTTAAGAGCGGCACTTTTAGCGAAAATGGCAGGCTATGGTGGAGCTGCAGACGGAACAGCTTATAACCCTCAAAGTCAAATGAATTTGAGTTCACTCAAAAATCAAATAACAGATGTCAAAAAGTCAAACATAGACATACAGAAACAAATAAGTGAAAACGAAAAGAAACTAGAATATGACAGACAGACAAAGAAACTAAATGAGTTAAACGTAGAGAAAAAGAAGAAAGAAGAACAACTGAAAGAACTAAGTACAGAGGAATATGCGAAAAAAGTGTCAGAAAAAGCAGCAGAAGTAGCAAAAATGGAACAAGATGTTATAAATTTGAAAAACCATACTACTCAATATAAAGTACTGAAAGATGAAGAGATAAAACAAAAAGCCATGAAGACATATATGGATAGCGATGAGTATAAAAAAGAAGTTGAAGCAAATGTAAAGGCAGAAAAACTTTTACAGTTGCAAAACCAAACCGTACAGTATGAAAACTTAGCACAAGAAAGTAAAAATAACGACGCAGCCATGCAAAAGGCAATGAAAAGCGCAGAATATATAAAAGCTAATAATGACTGGTTAGATGCCCAAGCCAACGCTAAAGCAGCCCAACTTATAGGGTCAATAAGGACAAAAATACAAGCGGATGAAGACAGTTCAAATGAAGCTTTAATGAATGCTGACTTTAAGAATGCCTTCGAAGCTCTTCATAGTAAGGTGAAACTAGTGAACGACTTCTCATCTGGAAAGAAACTGAAGTCTGAAGGTTTCGACAAAGAGTTAAGAGAAGTAGCACAAAATATGACGAAAATAACAGATGCAGCAACGAGACAGGCAGTTCAAAGTGCCTATGACGCCGTTAGAGCAACTGTTGTGGAAAGTCAAGAAAAAGAGTTACAACAGACCAAAACAGACCTAGTAAATGCTTTCTTAAAAACGAAAAGTCAGGTAGGACATTATGCTGCAGATGGAACATATGTGCCAGCTGGTGGAACTTATATACCACCAAACCCTCCAAGAGAAGCACCTGCACCAGGACTACCTAAAACATTTACATCGTCACATGGACACAGACACAGGCATGCACCAAAACCAACACAACAACCAACAGTTCAAAATCCAGCACCACAACAACAACCAAAACCAACAGTTCAAAACCCTGCACAACAACCAACAGTTCAAAATCCAGCACCTGCACCACAACCAAAACCAGCACAACAACCACCTCCACAACCAGCACAGCAACCAACAGTTCAAAACCCTGCACAACAACAACCACAAACAGAGCAAGGACATAAAAGAAGTAGAGAAAAAGGAAACCAAGAATTCTTAAAAATGCTTAAGGAAGATTATGGTTACCCAGATACTCTTGACTTTAGTGACAGATATAAAGAAGCTATTAGAAAGTTCAAGGAAGGAAATACTGACCCGAACCTATTTAGCTTTATGGTTGAGCATCAAATCGGATATAATCTCAAACCTGGAAAATACAAGCTCGCTAAGGGATATGATTTAATAGCATATCATCCAAATGACATGAATGAATTTACTCCGAGATATTTGATGTCAGAGCTAAATGATAATTCAACTCTCTTCATGAAACGCGTAAAAAATAGAGACGGAACGAAAGAAGAAAGGTTTATGAGTCCGGATGACTTAGATAGGGAACTTGTTAAAAACGGTCTCGGAATATATGAAATGCCAGCAGATGAGGTACAAGAAACTCCACAGGAAGAAGTTCAGATACAACCAGACATGGAAGAAATAGTTCAGCAACAACAGCTAGAAGAGCCTGAAGGAAACGAACAAGTCCCTCCTTTGGAAACTAACTTCACAGAACTAGATGAAGATTTGGAACAGCCGAAAAATCTTGACCCTCAACAAGAGTATGAGGTGAATATGGAATCTTTCCAAGAGTCTAAGAAAAATTCGGCTGACATAGTAGAAGAATATCGAAAAATGTTCACCGACATACAAAAGACTCCAACATCAGATGAAAATATTCAGCATAGAATGGAAGTACTGAAAGAAAATGTACGCAAATACAATAATCCTTTTTACTTACGACCATATAACGTTCAATCTTTGGCTGAACTCGGTGAAAATAAAAGGTTAAATTTCAACAAAACATATAGAAATGAAACATTGTTTAAAGTTCATTCAGAACCTAACCAATATGGAAACAAACCTACTTTTGTTTCTGCAGACTATGGAACTACAATGAAATGGGGTCATAAAGCTAATCCGGATAGGTGGTTCATAAACTTACAACCTCAATTCCAAGAAGTTGTAGACGCAATGGAAGTGAATGGTGAACCAGATATAGCTGGTATTTTCAGCGCGGCTTTAATGCCATTGAAAGATATGAAAGATGCAGATATTTTGGACCAGTATGAAATGAACATGGCTGAGGGAAATATAACACCTGACGTTCTAGAACATTTATCTCAAAGAACTACACAGAACCATAGAGATGGTATATTTGGTGAAGAGTTTAGAAAGAAAGTTAGGGAGAGAGAAGGAAGAGAACCTATTGTACATGACCTTGCAAACGAAAGTTTGCAAAATGTCATAAAAACTTACTTTGCAGACAATGAAATGAGAAGGGATGAATATTTAAGAAAACTCAAATGGACAGTACCAAATGAAATGTTAGTATTGAAAAACATGTTCCATGACAAAATAAAACCAACTACAGAAATAAATGACGCAAGACTGAAACGTTGGGTAAAAGCTTTCCCATTCACAAAAGATATTATTGGTTACATGGAAAGAAAACCAGAATGGCTACAAAAACATATATTTGGAAACGAGCTTATTCCATATGGACAAGCTCTGTTTGAAGAGCTTGAACCGGAAACTCAGGAAAGAGTCATGCAAACAATAAGCGAAGACTCAAATACAAACTATGACAAAATCTTTCTAGGATATAGGTTACCTGAGATGGGCGACCAGAGCCCAAAGGCAAAAAGGACATGGGAAATTTACAACATACTAGGTGAACATGAGGCAAAGATGCTACAACTTGAAGCAGAGGGCAAGTTACCAAAAGCGACACCAAAGAAGAAGAGAGTAGAACAAAGTGAAAGTAGTGAAGAAGTAACTTCATCTAGTGAAAGTAGTGGCAATGAAGGAAAAAGAAGAGTTAAAGATTCAGTTAAAAACTCAGTCAGGAAGAAAGTAAAGCTTGGTCCGAGTGGGTTCTATTATGACATATAAATCCAACTATTCTATATTTTTACCCATATGAAATGTACGCCGCTCAGAATATAACGCCAACAGTTTTGGATGCCATGAACGGAAATGTTTCCGAATGGTATAACGAATGCGATAATGCCATTAGAAGGTCAGAAATAGTTCCTGGAACTTACGAATATACAACTGCTGTTTCTTATGGAAACGTAGGTGAGTTTGGAGAAGGTTCTTCAACAACAGTAGATATTGCTTGCGACAGGTTTCATATTATTTCTATTGACAACTCATTCTTATACGTGGAACAAGACATTGAAATAAAACCTTCTTCCAAGTTGTCTGACAAGAAAGGTTGCAATGGAATTTTCTATGTCGGATACCAATATGCTCCAGAAGTTTTCATGGGATATAAGATATATTCTAACTCTGACTTAGTTCAAACAGTAACATGGGCAAACTATGAATGGTTCGCTTTGAGAAACTCAGTACAACCACAAGCTAGAGAACAAACAGACCAGTATGCAACTATTGAGAAAATAAGAAGACTTGACCCTAACGTTCCAGGAGTTTATGTTAACCTTTCTGGTTCAGATGGAACTGCTGCCACTAAAGTAAAACTGAAACTTAGAGTTCCTTTGTCATCTTTCCTCATCTTCAGGTTTTTAAGATACTTGCCAAACTGGGCAGGAAAAATTTCTATCGAACTTACTCCAAGCAAAAATAACTTAGTCATTGCACCAACACAAGACCCATTCACTATTACAGACGTAAAGGGAACAAATCAAACGTCATTCGTCGAATTTTGCAAAGACAAAGTTGACTTAGACTTTGGTTTCTCAAACTTCAACAATGAAGTAAACTATTATTTCAATGCTGCTGGAACTGCTTGGGACCCAGTTAAGTTCACATGCGAAAAATTTGAATGCAAGAGAATAGAAAGCAGACTTGCAGTCTATATGTTGGACCCAGATATTTCAAATGCTTTAGCTGCCAAATATATTGCAGTTCCACTTATGTTCCCTATACACCAAATATCTGTCAAAGACTTTGCAGGTGAAGTTGGAAACCAAAATCCAGGAGCCGCAGGTGCAAGAACAGATATTGCTTTAACAACTGCAATGAAACATGCAGATACTATGTTTGTACTGTTCAGACGAACTATAAATGACTATTCTTGTTTCTACAACCCTGGTATTAAATATCATATAAACATAGATGGCAAATATTATCCAAGAGAAGAATATTCTACAGTTGAGGATATGAGGTCATACAACTTGACATTAGATGCTATGAACTTTAACAACAACTTCACAACAACTATTAACCCTGAAATGCAAAGTTCTATTATGCCATATGTGAAAGTATGGACTCATACAGGAGGTCAAAAAACTCAATATACAAATGGAGACCGTTCAAACTTTTGGCTTGGCATTCCATTTGCTGACTCAGAAGACTTTATGGGTAGTATTTCAACTGTTGGTACAGTTCAAATACAATATACTGGTGACAGAGACGGTCCAGATGAATTGAGAGCAAAGAAGTTTACAAAACCAATAGCACTTTTCACGGAAGATGCTCTTTTGAAGATTCGTTCGATGAAACCTGCTGGGGCTCCTCAGATTGGCATAACGACAGCTTCCATCGAGCAGATTTTGGCAGCAGGTCAGTAAGTTGTTCTTGAACTGACTTCTCTCCGTCAAATATTGACAGTACGCCAGTTTTGACATAATATTGTATTATAAACTTTCCTTTAGTAATATCTGTAAGTTTTGAAGTTATATTTTTGTCTGCTTCAAGAACTTTCACCATTTCAGTTATACCAACTTTCTTTGCTTTATGAAAATATTTAGGTTCAGCAAAGACTGCTATTCTATAACATTTTCCATTGTTTGTGTAAAGAACTATTCTGTCAATGTATTTGTATTGTTTGTGAGTATAAACTTTGTTCTGCTTCAATTCAATAAGATATCCGAATACGTCCATCTTTTTATTCTAAGTAAAATGTCATTTCCGAAAAATAGAAGCGTAAGTGTTTCAAAAGGTTTAATGGCGGTGGCAGATGTTAAGTTAAATTCACCAACCCAAACAAACAGTCAAAGTGTTATTGTCAATGTCAAAGACAGAGATGTTGAAGTGGGGAAACCATACGAAGACGAAGATGGTATAACAATTGTTCCTGTAAAAGAACCAACATATCCTGAAGTTAACAGAGACTTAAGTTCTGTTGCAGATATTCGAAACGACTACCAACAACTGAAAGACAAACTTCAAACTCAGGAGAAGATTTGTCAAGCTTTAAGTATAATGTTAAACTTGGGCGAACACAACCCTGTAAAAGTGAACTCATATGTCATTGCACCTCATGAAGTTTTGAAAGAACTATTGAAACTTTTGACAGAGGCAGACGATATAAACATCAAAGAAATAGAACCCGACATTGGTTGCTGTGGTGTTTCATATAATGTCATTGACAAGATATACGTTATGAAAGGAGGTGAAACGTTGAACTTAAAATATAGTTTCCCAGACGTTATAAAAATATTTGACGACCACAACATTTCATTAAAGTTTATTTGCTAAGTAAATGGCAGAAGACATAATGGTTTATACTATTACGACTAAAAACCCTGAGTCATATAATTCTATAACAACAAACTTACAAAGTCCTCAAGGACGATATTGTAAACTAACCTTAAACACAATGACGACTAAAGCCTGTTTTGCTCTTTTGACACCAGAAGACTTTATTGTTGTGAATGGTAAAAAATACTCCTTTGAAGATACTTACTCAGATATACCACCAACAGGTTTTGTTGACTTATTTAATACTTTAAGTACGGGTGTAACATGTGCTGCAACTAGAGCAGGTTTCATTATGTTTGGATGTCCGACTGAGTTTACTATAAACGATATGAGCTATAATACAAAACTTATTTCTGGTTTTTACTACCAACAGTTTCCTATAACAGGAAAAGGTGTCATACAAGGAATGTCTATTCCATTGACATTAAGCACACCAATCTTATATATTGTTTCAAACTTAGGTTCAAAGTGTTATTCGAATGTCGACAGAAACTATTATGACCAAAAGATACTTATGCGTATAAACAATACTTTCTCTGCTGGTTTGCCTATTGTTCATTCGAATGCAGAATTTTCAACCTTAGTGAACTCAAACACTTTGGCAAGTATAACGTTGACATTAGTTGACGCAAACTTTGTTCCTGTAAAACTTTTATGTCCTATGTATTTGTCAATGACGGCAGAAAGTTTCGAATTGGAAGATGCAACTGGTGAAAGTATTGTATTACAAGAACAACTTCAACAACAAATAGCTCAAGAACAACAAATGCAACAAATGGAACAACAAAGTCAAGAATAAAAAAATAATATTTTTTTTATTTTTATAAAAATGTACAGAATAGATGTTTCAGATTTTTATGACTTCCAAGCATTCAGAAATATGTGTCCATTTAGAGACTATAACAAAGCAGTCGAGAATTTGAAACGTTTAGTCATTTATGTTGACTCTGCCCCAGAATGTTATGTCATGAAAGAATGGGATGTTGTCTTTAACAAACCAAGAGCAACAATAGTGTCTGAACAAGAATGTAGACAGAAACTTAAGAAAATAAAAGTTGTACAAGTTGGCATGAAGATGTTAGATGCTTGGGATATCTTATTGTCAAAGTTAGAAGATTTTTCAGTTCGAGGTATAAAGTTCTATACACCTTCTCCAAACTTCTATTCTATCTTCACTGGATATAAATACGAACAAGTAGAATGGAAACACAGTATTATAGAAGCTTGGTTAGACCATGTCAAAGAAATTATATGCAATGGAAACGAAAAGGTTTATGAGTATATCTTATGTTGGTTTGCAAATATCTTACAACATCCAAGTGCTAAAAATGAAACTGCTCTCATTATAATTGGAAAACAAGGAACTGGTAAGAATACTTTCTTTACAGATATTTTGTGCAAACTGTTAGAAGGTTATTCGAATCCGAATATGACAAACTTAGAAAACATCTGTGGCAAGTTTAACTCCTCAATAGAGAATATGAAACTTATAGTTTGCAATGAACTTCAAAGTATAGATACAACAAAAGTTTTGAACTCAGATGCTTTGAAGAGTCTTATAACAGACAAAGTTGGAGTTGTTGAAAGAAAGTATAAAGACCAAAGAGTTTGTGAAAATGTTGCAAACTTCATTATGGTTTCAAACAATGCTGTTCCGATGCAGTTAGAAAGTTCTGACAGAAGATATGTAGTTGTCAGAACGTCAGAAGCTCATATGCAAGATACTGAATATTTTGACGCTTTGTCAGAATGTTTGACATCTGACTTTTACAACCACTTGTTCTCATATTTCATGACATTAGATATTTCTAAGTTCAATCCAAGACAAATTCCACATACCGAAGAGAGACAAACATTGTTAGAAGCAAACAAGAGTGTTTATGAACTGTTCGTAGATGAAACTGACTTTGTGTCATTAGATGAAAGGTCATTGTACGATTCGTATAAACAATATTGTCAAGAGTATGGTTATATGCCAGCGTCTAAACGAACATTCTTGGCAAATGTCAAAAGTCTTTTAGATGTTCAGAATGGTGTATATACAAAGAAAATTTTTTCTGAGTAAATTTTAAAAAAAAATATTTTTTATCCGATAGAAAAGATGACGAAATAGATTTCAGTAAACAAGTACATGTCAGGAGTTAAAGAAGAACTAGACCCATTCACATATTTGAATGTTTATTTCTACCATTTTGAAAAGTCTTCATTCAGCAAAGTTTGGAACATCGAACCAGTTAAGTTTGCTATTGTGACTAAAATGGTGCGAAATTTGAAGACTTAGACATAGAAGGTTTGTTAACAGTCAAAGAAAGTTTTGACAGAAGGTTCTCAAACCTTAAAGAAGGCAAAGCATACAAACTTGTTATACCTTATGAACCAAAGAAGACAGACGACTATGAATATTATGAGTCTAAAGTTGTAGAAGTTCAAGGTAAATTGGGTAAAAAGCTATTAGAGTCTAAGCCAGTGTTTACTCCTAAAGAGGAAGAGAACATTGACATTGACCCAGAAATGTTCTAAAAATAAAATTTTATTTTTACATGTCAAATTTCTTCTTCGGTGGAATTGGCTCTGGTTCTTTCTTCTCTTCTTCTACTTTCTTTTCTTTCTTTTCTTTCTTCTTCTTCTCTGGTGGAGATATGTCAAATTTCTCAGAACCATATCTATGTAAAAGTTCTTTGTCCTTTAATAGCTCTTCTATTCTGTTTTCTATTTCATCTTCAAGAACAGCGCATGTGTCTTCTTTGCATTCTAAGAACTTTTGTTGGACTTCATCTTTCCAATCGGCGTCATCTCTGTCAACAAGTCTGTCATTGACAAATTTTAAGACTGCTCTTTGTAATGTTTTATGGTTCTTGTCATATTCCCAGAAACAGAACTTTAGAACAAATTCACCTTTCTTGTTTACATTATGTAAGGTTTTATGGTCTACAGATGTTTTGCTGTCGAAAAGCTTGTCTCGAATATAGATAGCGAAATCGCTAGACATTTTCTAAAAGATAAAAATTTTAATTTTTCTAAAAATATGTTAGAAAAAAGTTTGCTGACATTGACAAGAAATTTGAGAATGTTTTAAACAAGAACAAGAGGAAGTTAGAAAATGCTCAGATAAAGCCTATACATGAAAAGTTCTTATTTGCTCAGAATGGTATAACAGGTCTAATTGCACCACCTGGGTCGGGTAAGACTTTCACTTATCTTAAAATGGCTGCACAACAACAAGAACTAGATGAGAAGAACCCATTTTATGAGTTAGTTGTTATTTGTAGTACTTCTGGTCAATTTGACCAAACCGTCAATTCGTTCAAAGATATTATAAAGAAGTCTAAGTTAGTATGTATAAAGGATACTGAGTTGTTAGATTGGATAAAGAAGTACCAAAGAAGAGTTTTGAAGTATAATGCTATAAATGAGTATATAAATTCGAAGTTTAAAGAACCTAATGAGGAAATGCAGAGAATATTAGACAAACACCACTTCAGAAACAAACAGAAAGAGATAGAATACATTTCGAAGAAATTGCAATCTTACGATTGGAAGACTTACCCTCATAGATGTCTTCTTATCTTAGATGATTTCGCCTCTCATCCTTTGTTAAAGAACAGAGAACAAGATATGTGTCGAATTCTTAAGAAGCTCAGACACTTTAACATCTCAGTTGTCATTTGTGTACAGACAGCAAAGAGTTTAAGTAAGGATGTTAAAAGAATACTTACTGACATAATACTTTTCCCCAGATTGTCCGAAGACGATTTCATGGAACTTATGAAAGAGTCCATGGCAGGTAAGTTTGACAGACACCAATGAAAAAAATAAAATGATATTTATTTTAAATATATAAGATCCTTATATAAAATATAAATATTTTATCGTTTTATTTTCTTGTTTTAGAAATGTTTTTTATTGAAAAATCAATAAAACTAACTCCAAAATAAAATTTTTGATTTAAAGACACTATGATGACACCAGGCAAATCTTCCAAGACACCTATCGTCGGGAATCTAACAACTCTATCAGCAGACAAATAATTGATTGAGGTGATATAAAAATTGAATTTAATTCAATGATCAAACCGACCCATTTGTATCTCAAAAATATAATTTTTTCTATGTCAGAGTTTTGATCCCTTTAGGAATCTTACATATACAGCCTTAATTTTCAAGATTTAATAATTATTGCTCAATGATGTAAAACCGATTCAGAAATTAATATTAGAGTGTCAGAGTATGTTTATTTGCGATCTTTTCTCATTACTAGTAAGTTGTTCATTTCTTGTAGCCCTAGAAATTTATTCTTATAATCCAGAATTTGCTTTATTCGGATATGAAACTCCGGATTGGACACCGGCATCATTCTTTAAAGTTAAGCGCAAAATTGATGTGCCTCTAGAAAAAAATTGGCCAGTATTACGATATATAAATGAAACAATAGAAGATCCTACGCAATACCATTTCTCATATAGAAAACCGAAAGAAACACACGACTACAACTTTTATTACAAGACACTTCAGACTACACACTATAGACTTGAAAGAGCATATGTTAGCTTTAATGGTGCTGTAGGTCTTGATGAAAACACCATTTTCCAACCAACAGATTTTGAAAGGAACGCTACAAATGCAAGTGTTGTAGGCCATTACCGCGAGGTTATTGTTACAGGATATTTATGGGCAACATATAATTTTGGCCATTCATTTGAAGATTTTTTCACTCCACTATTTTTAATTCCTGAAGAAATTAGAAGGAGATCACATATTATTGTATTCTCAATGCCATTTCTCTATAATACACTCCTGGATCTTCTAGGCTTTTTACCAGATCGAAGAATATATTTACCAAAAAATAAAGGTGAATATATTTCGGCTGATATACTCCATTGTTTTGCAAATAGAACCTTTTACATCAGTCAATGGGGGCCAAACACTTACAGATTTAAACGGTTCTTGCATGAAAAATTCGAATTAGATAAAATTACACCATCTGAATACTGCTTTACAAACAGGCCTAAAGGCAAGAGAAGGCATATTCATAATCTTGATGAAGTAATAAATTCAGCAAAAGCAAAGTTCCCAACAATTGATTGGAAATTTATTCCAGATAATCATACAAATCTTATTGAATGCGCCAGGGATTTCAAAAAGATTAAGTTTCTTTTCTCTCCTGTAGGTTCAAACATTTGTAAATGCATTTTTATGGCCGACAATACTGTTGTTATATGCGTTACAGCGAATTTCCCTGAAAATTCTCTGGCAGGTTTCTGTTTAAGTTGTAAATTATTTGAGTTACAATATGATTCAATCTCTGCTCATCATTTAGAATATGGTTCACCAATTAATGTGAACGATGCATTATTCCATATAGAAAAATGTTTGAAAGTATTAGAAACTGGAAATTGGAACGTATATAAATAATAAGAATATTAAAATTAATTTTGAAAATAATCTATTTAAAGTCGATTTATATTCAATTTTTTGAATAAATTCAAAATCGACTCGTAATCCAATAGTTGACAATTTGTAATATCTTTAAAATAGACGCATTATTCATATGGCGCAATGAAATAAAAAAATCAAAATGTGTAAAGCATATTTTGAATATACTTACTATGCAATTTCATACCAGTCTCTATTAAGTTATCGATATTACAATAAATAAGAAAATGATTGTTGAAGTTCTGTGTAGCTGTCAATGTTACATTTGATAAAAAAAATTAAAACATAAATTGAGTATAGCAAGCATTAATCCATTACTTCTAACTTTTTTAACAATTTGATGAAGTTTTAAGAACGACGATATATCTTGTTTGGCCAATTGTACAATTGCTACTTAATTCTGATTAAATTATAAAACATAATCTACATACAAAAATATAGTAATGCAATAATCTCGGGAACATGGCTCTCAATTTTGAATAGTTTACGAATTTCTCAAATAAAATTGAGGGGATTATGTTCCCGAGATTTTTGCAAAAACAGTTTTTTAAAAAGTTCTATAAATTCTTTTACAAAACAATATAACAATATGTATATCTTCAATATTTAGGTCAGGTAAGTGGGGCTTCCAGGCGCGTTGCGCCCTCTAGCCCCGAAGATGTTTAGTATAAATGAAGTTTTTATTCGGAAAATTGTTAGTCTTCTGGTGTGAATTCGGAGGACTCTTCTTGGATAGAGTCTTGTATTTCCTCCTCTTCTTCCTCCTCCATTGCTTCTGGGAAGAAGCCTTCTTCTGGGTCGAAAACATTATATAATGTGTAATTGAATGACACATTATATCTTTCTTTGAGTTCGCTCCTGACAAAGAACTTAGTTCCAGGAATACAGAAGACTTCTGTGCGTTGGAAAAGCTGATGTCCTGGAACGAATTTGGCAATTAGAGACTTCTTTTTTCCGAATTGTTCAGGAGTTTTCATGACGACAGTAACAACATCTCCATCTGCGAGGTCTTGTTGTTGTTCGGAAAGGTAAAGAGCAATGATATGAATGGTTGCTGCGTTGAATTCGAGAAAGTCGAATTCAAATTGTGTTGTCGTATAATATTCAAACCATTTTGTACGGTTGTCTCCGAACTCGTCAACGTATTCATCTTCGTCATATCCGTAACTAAAGACTTGGAATTCGGCAATTCTCTTGTCGAATGACCGTTGGATGTAACGAGGAAGATTTTGACGAACTTGGTATAAAGTTCTCAACATTATAAGCTTAGTAAATGTTGGAAAATACTGAACTAAGACATCGCTAAGCTCAATTGGACTTGGAATTGTCTTAGTAAGTTCAATTGAACTAGTAATTGCTTTGTTCAGAACTTCACAGAACTGAGTATTGTATGTAGCGTCTGGTTGTGTGTTTTCTTCGGCGTCTTTGAGATATTTAGAGCAAATTTGTTGAAGAATTTCTCTTAATTCGCTGTTAGACTTTTTGGTGGTTATTCTAACCGCTGTGCCAGTTCTTGGAGGTTGTGGAGCTTTGGCTTTGGTTAGCGGTTGAGAATTGTTAATGTTTGAATTGTGGTTAACAGCGTTGGCTTCCATTAGATAAAAATGAACTGACCAAAAAAGACAGATATTTAAATATTTGAGATAAACCGTTTTCGTCAACGGTAACCCCCTCTATTTTTTTATTTTATTTAATAGTTACCGTTAGAAAAACGGTTTATCTCAAATATTGAATGAACTATAAACGTTTTTTGTTTTCTATATATACTTTTTTGTCCAACGGTAAAACTTTTTACACAACGGTTTTTGAGAGTCGTCGCCGTTGACTTTTTTGTAGAGCACTCAAAATAGTATAACTTTGTCCGGACAAGTAAGGGTCTATCGTCGCTACAGGAAAAGTTACAGGCATTCCAAGGAAGTATACTTTGAGAAGCCTTTTCTCCATTATAGAATGAGATAGGACGGTTATTTTACAAAACTGACAACACTTTGACCGAGTAGTTTTTTGTGCTGAACAAAAAGTGTCATATAAACATCTGTCAAAAACCGCTTTTTAACTTCACTTAAAATGCCACGTAAGCTACGTAAGAATATACGTAAGAGGAAGGGAGCATTGAAACATCCAATAGTAAAACTGACACCACAACAACAGTTGCAACAACAAATGATGAATGACCCCACTATGTTGCAACAAATGTCAAGCAACCCTATGCTTTTAAACCGAGTTATTGGTGCACAGAGTGGAGGTTTAAGAGCGGCACTTTTAGCGAAAATGGCAGGCTATGGTGGAGCTGCAGACGGAACAGCTTATAACCCTCAAAGTCAAATGAATTTGAGTTCACTCAAAAATCAAATAACAGATGTCAAAAAGTCAAACATAGACATACAGAAACAAATAAGTGAAAACGAAAAGAAACTAGAATATGACAGACAGACAAAGAAACTAAATGAGTTAAACGTAGAGAAAAAGAAGAAAGAAGAACAACTGAAAGAACTAAGTACAGAGGAATATGCGAAAAAAGTGTCAGAAAAAGCAGCAGAAGTAGCAAAAATGGAACAAGATGTTATAAATTTGAAAAACCATACTACTCAATATAAAGTACTGAAAGATGAAGAGATAAAACAAAAAGCCATGAAGACATATATGGATAGCGATGAGTATAAAAAAGAAGTTGAAGCAAATGTAAAGGCAGAAAAACTTTTACAGTTGCAAAACCAAACCGTACAGTATGAAAACTTAGCACAAGAAAGTAAAAATAACGACGCAGCCATGCAAAAGGCAATGAAAAGCGCAGAATATATAAAAGCTAATAATGACTGGTTAGATGCCCAAGCCAACGCTAAAGCAGCCCAACTTATAGGGTCAATAAGGACAAAAATACAAGCGGATGAAGACAGTTCAAATGAAGCTTTAATGAATGCTGACTTTAAGAACGCCTTCGAAGCTCTTCATAGTAAGGTGAAACTAGTGAACGACTTCTCATCTGGAAAGAAACTGAAGTCTGAAGGTTTCGACAAAGAGTTAAGAGAAGTAGCACAAAATATGACGAAAATAACAGATGCAGCAACGAGACAGGCAGTTCAAAGTGCCTATGACGCCGTTAGAGCAACTGTTGTGGAAAGTCAAGAAAAAGAGTTACAACAGACCAAAACAGACCTAGTAAATGCTTTCTTAAAAACGAAAAGTCAGGTAGGACATTATGCTGCAGATGGAACATATGTGCCAGCTGGTGGAACTTATATACCACCAAACCCTCCAAGAGAAGCACCTGCACCAGGACTACCTAAAACATTTACATCGTCACATGGACACAGACACAGGCATGCACCAAAACCAACACAACAACCAACAGTTCAAAATCCAGCACCACAACAACAACCAAAACCAACAGTTCAAAACCCTGCACAACAACCAACAGTTCAAAATCCAGCACCTGCACCACAACCAAAACCAGCACAACAACCACCTCCACAACCAGCACAGCAACCAACAGTTCAAAACCCTGCACAACAACAACCACAAACAGAGCAAGGACATAAAAGAAGTAGAGAAAAAGGAAACCAAGAATTCTTAAAAATGCTTAAGGAAGATTATGGTTACCCAGATACTCTTGACTTTAGTGACAGATATAAAGAAGCTATTAGAAAGTTCAAGGAAGGAAATACTGACCCGAACCTATTTAGCTTTATGGTTGAGCATCAAATCGGATATAATCTCAAACCTGGAAAATACAAGCTCGCTAAGGGATATGATTTAATAGCATATCATCCAAATGACATGAATGAATTTACTCCGAGATATTTGATGTCAGAGCTAAATGATAATTCAACTCTCTTCATGAAACGCGTAAAAAATAGAGACGGAACGAAAGAAGAAAGGTTTATGAGTCCGGATGACTTAGATAGGGAACTTGTTAAAAACGGTCTCGGAATATATGAAATGCCAGCAGATGAGGTACAAGAAACTCCACAGGAAGAAGTTCAGATACAACCAGACATGGAAGAAATAGTTCAGCAACAACAGCTAGAAGAGCCTGAAGGAAACGAACAAGTCCCTCCTTTGGAAACTAACTTCACAGAACTAGATGAAGATTTGGAACAGCCGAAAAATCTTGACCCTCAACAAGAGTATGAGGTGAATATGGAATCTTTCCAAGAGTCTAAGAAAAATTCGGCTGACATAGTAGAAGAATATCGAAAAATGTTCACCGACATACAAAAGACTCCAACATCAGATGAAAATATTCAGCATAGAATGGAAGTACTGAAAGAAAATGTACGCAAATACAATAATCCTTTTTACTTACGACCATATAACGTTCAATCTTTGGCTGAACTCGGTGAAAATAAAAGGTTAAATTTCAACAAAACATATAGAAATGAAACATTGTTTAAAGTTCATTCAGAACCTAACCAATATGGAAACAAACCTACTTTTGTTTCTGCAGACTATGGAACTACAATGAAATGGGGTCATAAAGCTAATCCGGATAGGTGGTTCATAAACTTACAACCTCAATTCCAAGAAGTTGTAGACGCAATGGAAGTGAATGGTGAACCAGATATAACGGGTATTTTCAGCGCGGCTTTAATGCCATTGAAAGATATGAAAGATGCAGATATTTTGGACCAGTATGAAATGAACATGGCTGAGGGAAATATAACACCTGACGTTCTAGAACATTTATCTCAAAGAACTACACAGAACCATAGAGATGGTATATTTGGTGAAGAGTTTAGAAAGAAAGTTAGGGAGAGAGAAGGAAGAGAACCTATTGTACATGACCTTGCAAACGAAAGTTTGCAAAATGTCATAAAAACTTACTTTGCAGACAATGAAATGAGAAGGGATGAATATTTAAGAAAACTCAAATGGACAGTACCAAATGAAATGTTAGTATTGAAAAACATGTTCCATGACAAAATAAAACCAACTACAGAAATAAATGACGCAAGACTGAAACGTTGGGTAAAAGCTTTCCCATTCACAAAAGATATTATTGGTTACATGGAAAGAAAACCAGAATGGCTACAAAAACATATATTTGGAAACGAGCTTATTCCATATGGACAAGCTCTGTTTGAAGAGCTTGAACCGGAAACTCAGGAAAGAGTCATGCAAACAATAAGCGAAGACTCAAATACAAACTATGACAAAATCTTTCTAGGATATAGGTTACCTGAGATGGGCGACCAGAGCCCAAAGGCAAAAAGGACATGGGAAATTTACAACATACTAGGTGAACATGAGGCAAAGATGCTACAACTTGAAGCAGAGGGCAAGTTACCAAAAGCGACACCAAAGAAGAGAGAAAGTAGAACAAAGTGAAAGTAGTGAAGAAGTAACTTCATCTAGTGAAAGTAGTGGCAATGAAGGAAAAAGAAGAGTTAAAGATTCAGTTAAAAACTCAGTCAGGAAGAAAGTAAAGCTTGGTCCGAGTGGGTTCTATTATGACATATAAATCCAACTATTCTATATTTTTACCCATATGAAATGTACGCCGCTCAGAATATAACGCCAACAGTTTTGGATGCCATGAACGGAAATGTTTCCGAATGGTATAACGAATGCGATAATGCCATTAGAAGGTCAGAAATAGTTCCTGGAACTTACGAATATACAACTGCTGTTTCTTATGGAAACGTAGGTGAGTTTGGAGAAGGTTCTTCAACAACAGTAGATATTGCTTGCGACAGGTTTCATATTATTTCTATTGACAACTCATTCTTATACGTGGAACAAGACATTGAAATAAAACCTTCTTCCAAGTTGTCTGACAAGAAAGGTTGCAATGGAATTTTCTATGTCGGATACCAATATGCTCCAGAAGTTTTCATGGGATATAAGATATATTCTAACTCTGACTTAGTTCAAACAGTAACATGGGCAAACTATGAATGGTTCGCTTTGAGAAACTCAGTACAACCACAAGCTAGAGAACAAACAGACCAGTATGCAACTATTGAGAAAATAAGAAGACTTGACCCTAACGTTCCAGGAGTTTATGTTAACCTTTCTGGTTCAGATGGAACTGCTGCCACTAAAGTAAAACTGAAACTTAGAGTTCCTTTGTCATCTTTCCTCATCTTCAGGTTTTTAAGATACTTGCCAAACTGGGCAGGAAAAATTTCTATCGAACTTACTCCAAGCAAAAATAACTTAGTCATTGCACCAACACAAGACCCATTCACTATTACAGACGTAAAGGGAACAAATCAAACGTCATTCGTCGAATTTTGCAAAGACAAAGTTGACTTAGACTTTGGTTTCTCAAACTTCAACAATGAAGTAAACTATTATTTCAATGCTGCTGGAACTGCTTGGGACCCAGTTAAGTTCACATGCGAAAAATTTGAATGCAAGAGAATAGAAAGCAGACTTGCAGTCTATATGTTGGACCCAGATATTTCAAATGCTTTAGCTGCCAAATATATTGCAGTTCCACTTATGTTCCCTATACACCAAATATCTGTCAAAGACTTTGCAGGTGAAGTTGGAAACCAAAATCCAGGAGCCGCAGGTGCAAGAACAGATATTGCTTTAACAACTGCAATGAAACATGCAGATACTATGTTTGTACTGTTCAGACGAACTATAAATGACTATTCTTGTTTCTACAACCCTGGTATTAAATATCATATAAACATAGATGGCAAATATTATCCAAGAGAAGAATATTCTACAGTTGAGGATATGAGGTCATACAACTTGACATTAGATGCTATGAACTTTAACAACAACTTCACAACAACTATTAACCCTGAAATGCAAAGTTCTATTATGCCATATGTGAAAGTATGGACTCATACAGGAGGTCAAAAAACTCAATATACAAATGGAGACCGTTCAAACTTTTGGCTTGGCATTCCATTTGCTGACTCAGAAGACTTTATGGGTAGTATTTCAACTGTTGGTACAGTTCAAATACAATATACTGGTGACAGAGACGGTCCAGATGAATTGAGAGCAAAGAAGTTTACAAAACCAATAGCACTTTTCACGGAAGATGCTCTTTTGAAGATTCGTTCGATGAAACCTGCTGGGGCTCCTCAGATTGGCATAACGACAGCTTCCATCGAGCAGATTTTGGCAGCAGGTCAGTAAGTTGTTCTTGAACTGACTTCTCTCCGTCAAATATTGACAGTACGCCAGTTTTGACATAATATTGTATTATAAACTTTCCTTTAGTAATATCTGTAAGTTTTGAAGTTATATTTTTGTCTGCTTCAAGAACTTTCACCATTTCAGTTATACCAACTTTCTTTGCTTTATGAAAATATTTAGGTTCAGCAAAGACTGCTATTCTATAACATTTTCCATTGTTTGTGTAAAGAACTATTCTGTCAATGTATTTGTATTGTTTGTGAGTATAAACTTTGTTCTGCTTCAATTCAATAAGATATCCGAATACGTCCATCTTTTTATTCTAAGTAAAATGTCATTTCCGAAAAATAGAAGCGTAAGTGTTTCAAAAGGTTTAATGGCGGTGGCAGATGTTAAGTTAAATTCACCAACCCAAACAAACAGTCAAAGTGTTATTGTCAATGTCAAAGACAGAGATGTTGAAGTGGGGAAACCATACGAAGACGAAGATGGTATAACAATTGTTCCTGTAAAAGAACCAACATATCCTGAAGTTAACAGAGACTTAAGTTCTGTTGCAGATATTCGAAACGACTACCAACAACTGAAAGACAAACTTCAAACTCAGGAGAAGATTTGTCAAGCTTTAAGTATAATGTTAAACTTGGCGAACACAACCCTGTAAAAGTGAACTCATATGTCATTGCACCTCATGAAGTTTTGAAAGAACTATTGAAACTTTTGACAGAGGCAGACGATATAAACATCAAAGAAATAGAACCCGACATTGGTTGCTGTGGTGTTTCATATAATGTCATTGACAAGATATACGTTATGAAAGGAGGTGAAACGTTGAACTTAAAATATAGTTTCCCAGACGTTATAAAAATATTTGACGACCACAACATTTCATTAAAGTTTATTTGCTAAGTAAATGGCAGAAGACATAATGGTTTATACTATTACGACTAAAAACCCTGAGTCATATAATTCTATAACAACAAACTTACAAAGTCCTCAAGGACGATATTGTAAACTAACCTTAAACACAATGACGACTAAAGCCTGTTTTGCTCTTTTGACACCAGAAGACTTTATTGTTGTGAATGGTAAAAAATACTCCTTTGAAGATACTTACTCAGATATACCACCAACAGGTTTTGTTGACTTATTTAATACTTTAAGTACGGGTGTAACATGTGCTGCAACTAGAGCAGGTTTCATTATGTTTGGATGTCCGACTGAGTTTACTATAAACGATATGAGCTATAATACAAAACTTATTTCTGGTTTTTACTACCAACAGTTTCCTATAACAGGAAAAGGTGTCATACAAGGAATGTCTATTCCATTGACATTAAGCACACCAATCTTATATATTGTTTCAAACTTAGGTTCAAAGTGTTATTCGAATGTCGACAGAAACTATTATGACCAAAAGATACTTATGCGTATAAACAATACTTTCTCTGCTGGTTTGCCTATTGTTCA